CTTACAGTCAACATTTAAAAGTTGTAAAGAAAACCATATTTTCATTCACGGAGTTCATCATTATATCTTTCTGCATTCTCATTGCAAATACTTGTTCTTAATCTTCAGTTGCTCCAAAAATGGAGTCCCCTCAACCCAAATATTTACCTGCCACCCTTGTAACCTTGTTCTCTAAAACGGTGGATTACAAAAATTAAAAAGAATTTGATTTTTTATGTTTTTGAAAAAAAAAAATTTTGATCTCCATGACATGAATTAAACCAAGTTTCAAACACTTCCCTAAAACAATAATCATGACTCAAAAGCACAACCATCATACTTCAAACATTGGTGTTGCGCTTAAACTTACAAAAACCGTAGAAAAGATTGAGATGGTTGCATCGAAAAGTACAACTTGCAACTGTGGCAGTAACTGATGAAAATTCCTCAATAATTTCCGAATTTCTCAATTCCCTCACAAAGTCACTTCTGATGGCCCCTCTACGCCAAATCCAGCATGGAGTTGCGAAAGCAAATACTTAATGAGAAATGGTTGTTGATGTTAATCTAACAATCTCTTCCGTCTCTTCTTCTTCTTCTTCTTCAAAAAAAAAAAAAAAGTCTTTCCGCACAAAAATTCTGGGCAGCCGTTAATTTTTTTTTTTTTTTCTCTCTCTGGCGATTTCATGAAAGCCCGCAGCAAGATAGAAATTTATTAGATTCAATTTCTAGACAAAGTCTGATTTGACACCATGCCTGCTGCTCATAACAAGGGTGGTAGAATTGAACTCTCTATCCTCTTTTTGCTGTTTGATGACAATGACTATTGTAAAAAAAAATTTATTTTTTTTTTGTTTATGTTGCAGCAGGGGAAGGAAGTGAGACTTCGGGTTGCTTTTGATTGACGTTAATTAGATAGATCGAATATATCTGGGATGGCTTTTAGGAACTAACCAACTTGATGTCAATTTACAATTTACAAATGGGTTTTGGTTATTTTCCAGTGGATTTGTGGTTCTTAGTATGATTTGTAGGTAAATCCAAAATATGCATGGACATAACAAGTCAAGAATAAATGAATAACCACCAAAGAAGGGGAAGGAAAAAAGTGTCAGAAGTTGCAATATCAAAAAGAGGTAATTTACGCTTTACTTTGCAAGTTTGTTGTACTAATTTCATTTTTTTTTTTTGTTGTTGTTTTTGCTGGGTAAAGACTTTTTTTTTTTTTTGTTCATCTGACTTCCTTTCATTTGACATCCGACTATGTGGATACACAATTTTGAGGCTGTCGAAACTCTTGGCAGATTTGGTTTTGAAGGCAGATTTGGTGAATGTAATGATACTTAAGGTTTCGAGGTATTTAGTTAAAATTTTGATACATTGAAAGTCAACCCTCAAAAAATTAAGCACACATCCACTTCCCACCACTAAAAATTTGCTATTTTGTATTCATTTGCTTATGGTTTGTTTTTAGGAGGAAAATTCCGTGATATGAAGGAGACCCTCTTATTGCAATGATCATAGTTTTGGATATCCTTTATTGTACTTTTTAGGTTAAGGAAAAAGCTAAAATCAATATCAAGCATCCCAAAACTAAATTAACTTACTTTTCCATTTTCCCTTTTTCTCTCCCAAATCAATTGAATTCTGTTATCTATTGCCTTGAGTTCAAAAGAAATTTGGATTCTGCTTCAAATGAAGACTAATCACATTTTGGGAGGCTAGCTATCACATTGTGTCGTGCATAGACAAGCAAAGTTTGGTACTAAGGCCTATGTGTTTTCCTTTTTTTTCTTTTTTTTTTTTTTTTTGGTTTTAAAGTCTTCATCAACTCTTCAATAAACAAGATCTTATCATATGCCATTATAATTGGGATTGAACTTGTCCAAACTATTTATGTAACCATTACCAACTTCATAATCATCCAACCTAATGTGATAGTATGAGAGTGAAATTTATTATATACGTAAAACCATTACCATTTATGGTTTTAAACCTTTGCTTAATTTCTATAATTAGTATCTCAATAATAATTATTATATATGTAAAAATTATTATGAAGATTAAGTTTGTAATAAACAAATATATTACTCCATCCGTTGCAAAGAAAAACCCACATTGAATAGGTTTCTGAAAATTTATTCACGATTCATTTATAACCATTTCAAATCTATACCACTTGTAATGACATTATATGAAAAACATAGTTCTATCTTAGTTCATTGCATACTTTCTTTAAATTAAGTTAGATAATGAATAAAATGTATTAATGTTAAGGCCAAACCCGTGCGGATGCACGGGTTAAGAATCTAGTATGAAATATGTAGATTCAAACATTTTAGCATACCCGTACAAGTAATATTTAAGTAATTTAGTTAGTTATAAAATACTCCCTTTTTCATAAAAAAAATTATCTATATTGAGATTTCAAATTTATCCCTAGTATAAATTTTTGTCAATATTAATTTAAGTTACAGTTACTCCAACAGTTCTCTGAGTATGCATCTTCAATAACAAAGTTGATGTGATAATATATAGTACATATAAAGTTAAACACTAATAATATTTTCATGTTCCTTTTAAGTGCATATTTGTGGTAAGAGTTTTGTTGCGCCTCTTTATATTTATTATTATTTTAAATTATATAATATGTATTTATAAAGTCCAAACGATTCAAATACAATCTAAAACTCTATGTTACATTAAACTAATGGAATGTTTTAGATCTTTTTTCATATAATTTTTGTTATTACATTCACTTATAGATGACATGTCTAGTGATTTATTATTTAGGATATTCAACAAATTATCATATTAGTAATATCAAACGTGTAAAATTAAACTATGAATTTATTATACAAAATAGCAGTCGGTATATTATTTTATATCCAAACTATTACTAATTTGTACACATGTATTATGTACGGTTATTCGGTTAATCGCACCGAACCGAACCAAACATCGGATTCGGTCCGGTTAACCGAAATAAAAGTATGAATCCGATAACCGCACCATTCAGCAACTTTCTAGAAACGGACCGAACAGTTCGGATGTGGTTTGGTCTGTTTTTGGATTCGGTTAAACCGTGCCCACCCTTACTCCTTGGTCGGTTGCTGATCAAATCTTGGACGTCCTTCTCTGATTTCTGTGGTAAGTAAGTCAACAGTGTATATCCTAAAATGAATATTTATCTCGAATTTTTATTTTTATTTCAAAATTAAAAGTGAAAAATCATTTTAGAACCGGAGAAACTAAATACTCTACAACAAAACACTAATGTTTTTGCAATTTATTCCTTCTATGTTCTGTTTTATTTACCACAGAAGGATTTGAAACTTTGCGTTGGTGCGGTCAACCATTGTACTGTATTGGTGTACTTAATTATCATACTTTCAAGTTTTGAAGAGTGAAGACTTTTCTATGTCACTGAAGAGAACGCTAAAAGAAAAGCAGAAAAGTTACAATGTTCCAAGGAACTCCAGCTCCTAGGCCCAACAATCTTGATCTATTTATTAATTAAAGAATAAACAGGGGACAAAATTGATGATATCGATTGGAAGAGATATTGCATAGCTTGTTGAACTTGTGTCGGATGTGAACAATCGAATTCTTGGCTAATATAGTTGGCGCATTTGATGTCCGAAATACTAATGATTCGTATTTACATCCACCTTCGAGTTTACTATTGTAGACAAATGTAGAACCGCAACTTCATCACAATAAATGAACCCTCAGATTGAATTGCGAGCTTTTCCACATTGAAATAATAAGAAGAAAAACATCCATAGTAGATAGATCATACAATATGTAACCTAAGTAGCTCTTCTTAACATAGTTACAAACTCCCAACTACAACATAGATGTCAAGCCGAAACAACAGAAGATAGCATCCATATGTAATAAGCCAAGCATAAAAAGGGGTTGGCGTACGGTAAGATACAAAAGCAAAGCAGGAATTCCGTCGAGTGGACAGTGCTTAAGACACAGTGGGGCTGAGTACACTGCCAATAAACTGCACCACCCCAGTCATATCTTCTCTGATGACAAAAAGGAAGGGATGATCAGCAACAAAGTCGGGCTTATCATCGACTAGAAGTGCTTTCAACATCACCACAGCAGCAGTTGATGCCGCAGCTTCTGTACCTTCCTCATTAACCTCGATGAATGGAAAAACAAAGAGGTTGCGGACCAACAGGGGAGTCCACGATTTCAGAGAGTCCTCCATCGAAAGAAGAGGCAAACATTATTAATCAACTGACGGAGAGAGTTGAAAAGAAATAGCAATACTGGAGAGGGAGGAAGAGGTGACTGGTAACGGGAGAGAGACAGCAGTAATTAACGGAGGGCTTAGATAGATTTTGACCTCTTTAAGGGCAAATTTTTTTTAAAAAAAATAAAAAATAATATAGTACTATAATCTCTGGAGACTAAAAAAATGTCCTGACCATATTTAGAATCACTCTGCCCCGTTCCCCCATATAACAAAATCGTACTACCTGAAAATTTCACCGAATTTATCGGTCAGCGCTGGAAGTAATGTAAATTTCAACATTCACCGATCAAAAAAACTAAGCGCCGGATTGAACGTTACCCATGAAAAGACTGCACATCTACATTTAAAATGAAAATGAATTGCAAGTTAACTAAAAAAACAAATCAAGGTAGGTAAAGAAATTATGAAAGTGCAATAAAAACACTGAGCTCTTTTTCTGGAAAGAAATACTATGGTGATAAGCATGCATCGCATCATACTAGATAAGATAGTATGTAACCTAAATAGACAACTCAAGATAGCAACTCTGCATGTACGCAAAGCATAAAGAGATACTCTAATTTCATATGAGAGCCCAAATCATCCAATGTACATTGTGCTTAAGAAACAATAGCATTGAGCACACTACCAACAAACTGCACCACCCCGGTCATGTCTTCTCTAATGACGAAAAGGAATGGATGATCAGCAACAAAGTCGGGTTTATCCTCGATGATCAACGCGCTTAGCTGCTTAATCACAACAACATTTAAGCAGCTGCTTCAGTACCTTCTTCATTTACCTCGACAAAGGATTTGTGGAAAACGTTGGAAACGTAAAGCTTGCCACCGTCGGCAAGGGATTTAACCATTTCAGTAAGTCCTCCATCAATAAAAGGTAATATCAGCCCCAAATCTTTCAGAGTTTCCGAAGCTTCGAAACCAAATGATATCTTAAAGTTTGGAATGAGGAAGTCCCCAACTTCTACTTTCCTCAGTGGACGATGACGGTCTAGAAATCTAGGCAGAGAATCAAGTTTGTCTACCAGATCTTGCAGACCATCCATGGCATTTGGAAGGAAGAAATAGATGGAGAAGCGGCGTCGCTTGTCCTCGCCTTGTTTGTAAGGAAGGCGCAACACTTTGAAATCATTATATGTGCTTACATACTGTTCTTCCTTGCTGGTCATGAATGGGGCTTTAACTGTCCTTCCATTCAAGAGGTGGAAATCATGCTCTTTAGTCTTTGATTCATCAAACTTCTGATCCCATACACCTTTGAAATACAGAGCATTTGCAAGTATCAGCCTCGTTGTCCAGTCAACCGAATCCTTAGGAAGAATATTTTGATAAGGCCATTTGTTGCTTTCTCAGCCCATGCATTCACTTCTTTTCTCACCTCGACACACTTGGAAAACAAAAAAAAAAAAAAAATCAAACATCAGCTAGCATAGGAATCAGGATGTGAGTACGTAATTAAACATTGCAGTTCACTAATAACTCCTTAATATTCCACTTTGGATTTTTTCCATCTTCCATACCTGTAAAGGGATGGGAAGAATGAAAAAGTGCATGAGCAGAAGCCTACTAGCAAGAAAATGATATCAACTGCCTTGATTGACCAATGAACAATGTTAATTTCTGATGAAGAATCATATAATAAAACCAAACTTCTATCTGATGGGTGCAATTACTTTGGGCATCTCCTAGCGATGTGTTGGTCGACGAGCTCTGGCGGTGACATTGTCGATACAGCAAAAAAATGATCACCTGATGCCGATAATTCCGGCGGGGAGGACAGTCCATCTAGTTCCGATGGAGTCATCGCCCGTCGTTCGTCTCCTTGGCGGCTGAATTCGGAAACTTCCGACGGTAGTTTTAGGTAGCAATTATAAACGAGGAGCAGGAATCGAACCATTATTGTTGTCTCCGGTTGAAGAAAGGAGAACTAATTTTCAACATTGAAATACTACGGAGAATAACATCCATAGTAGGTAGATCAAACAATATGTAACCCTAAGTAGCTCTTCTTAACATAGTTACAACTCCAACTACAGCATAGATGTCAAGCCGAAACAACAGAAGATAGCATCCATATGTAATAAGCCAAGCATAAAAAGGGGTTGGCGTACGGTAAGATACAAAAGCAAAGCAGGAATTCCGTCTAGTGGACAGTGCTTAAGACACAGTGGGGTTAAGTACACTGCCAATAAACTGCACCACCCCAGTCATATCTTCTCTGATGACAAAAAGGAAGGGATGATCAGCAACAAAGTCGGGTTTATCATCGACTAGAAGCGCTCTCAACATCACCACAGCAGCAGTTGATGCCGCAGCTTCTGTACCTTCCTCATTAACCTCGATGAAGGATTTGTGGAAAATGTTGGAAACAAAGAGGTTGCGACCAACAGAGGAGTCCACGATTTCAGAGAGTCCTCCATCAGAGAAAGGTAAGATCAGCCCCAAATCTTTCAGAGTTTTTGAAGCTTCAAAACCAAATGACATCTTAAATTTTGGAAGGAGGAACTTCCCAACTTCTACTTTCCTACGGGGAAGATGACGGTCTATGAATCCGGGTTGAGAATCAAGTTTGTCTACCAAAGCTCGCAGACCATCCTTGGCATCTGGGAGGAAGAAATACATGGAGAAGCGACGCTTGTCCTCACCTTGTTTGTAAGGAAGACACAACACTTTGAAATCATCATAGGTGCTTACATACTGTTTCTTCTTGCTGGTCATGAATGGGGCTTTGACTGTGCTTCCATTTAAGAGGTGGAAATCAAGCTCTTTTGTCTTTGAAGCATCAAACTTCTCATCCCATGCTCCTTTGAAATATAGAGCATTGGCAAATATCAGCCTCACTGAACTGTCAACAGAACCAGGAGGAAGTATATCTTTGATAAGACCATTTGTTGCTTTCTCAGACCATGCATTCACTTCATTGGCCACCTCGACAGGCTTCAAGAAAAATCAACATCAAATACAATAAGGTTAGCATGTGCATCGAAACTGAACTTCGATTATATCAACTGCCGTGATCAACGGAGAGTATAAGGTTCGATGAGTCATGAATAATTAACAAATTTAATTTCTGTCGAAGATTCACAAATGAATATCAAACATCTGTTAGCTCCTAATCGACTTGTAAAACTTTCATTAACCCCGATCAAACACAAGTCTTGAAATCTAACCACCCACACGACCATGGTAAAAAAAGTCGGGGAAAAACATCAAACAGGCAATAAGTGATTTCAATGTACATTCTCAGGGACAAGACCAAAACAAGTAATCATTCACGAATAGAAACCGTGTTAAGACATGAAGCTCATTCCTCAGAGTAAGCAGCAGTGTGATCAAAGTTCCCATATTCTTACTCACCATAACCGTAGGCAATAGATGCAAAATCAAGTTTTAGGCATAACAGAAAATATACGCTTCAACCACAGAACAAAAACAAAATGGACAAGCCGAGAGATCAATGTCATCAAACTATAAGGATTCCTAAATGTCTGTTGCTTTCAACACCTCGAATCATCGTAATGTGGGGTTTCCAGTCAGCCCAACTCGGATATTGAGATTTGAGATGTCCTCAAACCTCTGATTTCCCAAAATCAGACCGGACAAAAACCAAAAATTTCTAACAAATGCAAAAAGAGCTAATCGAACAAAGTCAGCAACTTTACAGACCATCAAAGGACTATTCGCACACATAGATGCAAGCAATTGACCAAGGACAAAGGGAAATTAAAAACATAGTAATTGGAAAGAAAGTTACAGAATAAACCGTCGAACAAAATTAAAATTAAAATGAACCTCAAACTCAAAGCACATTAGGGGAAGTTATAATTACCTTATGTTGAAAATCAACTTGTTTGGAAGCAGCCTTATAAACGTCATCCGCGACCTTCTTGAAGGAAGGCTTCAAAGACATGGATTGATCAATCCAAACACCATTGGCAAAGGACAAACGGGGTCCACCGGAAGGGCTGCCGTCGGCGAATACAGTGGTGACGAGCTGAGAAGATAAAGAGTTGAGTTCGTCGGTTGACTTGGACTTGAGGAAAGAAAGGAGTTGGTCTTTAGTTGGGCCATCGGAGCCGGCGGCGATCAGGCCCAATACAACGTGGAGCGACAGCGGCGAGAACACGGAATTAGTCTCCTTGGCTTCCGTCAAGATAACTCGCTTGGCCAGAGTTAAGGAGACGTCGTTTTGATTGCTGATTAAATCTCGGACATCCATTTTTTCCGGGCAGGTGAAAGAAGACGAAGCTTGCTTTGTGAAGTAGTGAAAATCGGAAATGACAAAACGGTTTTTATAATTGATGATGAGAGGCCGGAAATTAAATTTAAATTAAAGGTTACACACGTACACGGTTTTGTAATTTTTTTCTTCTTTTTTCTTTTTGGATAAGTCGAATCGGATGCGATAATGTAAATTAAACAGCCAGCGCAACAATTTCGTGTACCTTGATGCGCTTTGACTTTATATTCGAATCAGATACCTATGTCTACATTATAGTATGTAATTTTATACTCTCTCCCTCCCTAATTATGTTCAGTTTAATTTTCAATTTTAGTTTGATTTTTATTTTTTAGTTTAATTATAATAAAAATAAAAATTTCGAACTGAATAATAATTTTGGAACGGAAGGAATACTACGTATTAAGAAACTTTTAGTATGGACATTGTTTCCAGGGAAATCGAAAATGAATACACAAGTTCTAGGCTTATAGCGAAGTCGAAATAAATAGCATTTTGGTAGTCTGTTGTACCGATGTAAGTCATGTTTGATTTCCATTTTCCAGAATGTAAATGTTTGTGAGAGTTATGTTTTTCTTTAAAGTGTTTCATCAAGATTTGATCTCAATTTCTTTCTTTTCTTTCCTCTTCTTTTTATTTTTCTTCGTTTTCTTTTTTTCTTGGAGCTGAAGTTTTGCGAAGCATAATAGATGTAAGGAATTGAATGACAGTTTAGTGGTTAGATTACTGTCTTTTCTGGTGATAAACCAGTGTTCGATTCCTACCAAGAATTGTAACGAGATTTTACCCACATTTAAGTGAGGTTCATGAGGATAATTTTTTTTTTTATATAAAAAAAATAGTAAATGTATTCTTTTGAAGTGTTTCAATAAGATTTGATCTCAATTTTTTTTCTTTCCTCTCTTCTCTTTTTTTTTCCCCTTGGAGCTGAAGTTTAGCGAATCTTACGACTTCTTCGCGTCGGTTGTCGATTTACTTTCAAAAAATAATTTATACAAGGATAAAAATGTAAATTAATGAATTAATCGGGTATGGAACCCGGTAAACGGGTTACGAACATGTATATATATATACGGCCAGCCTCATGATCAATACTCACCGCCTTCTTTTATCTACTGAAATCCTGCCGCCGGTTCCAGAACAGAGAAAAAAATCCGCCGCCTCGAATTCAGATCCCGCCCCGGCGCGGCCATCGATTCTTCTCCTCTATTCGAATCCCATCGTCGGAATCCTGGCGCTGCTTCTTCTTCTTCTCTAGTGGGAGTCCCACCGCTTTCCCCGTCCCCTGATTCCTACTCCCATAATCTGCCGTTGTTTTCCGGCACCATCAATTGTGTCGTTCGAGAATTAATTAGCAAATAATAGTAATTGAAAGTAACACCAAGGCGTTCGATTGAACGCATAATGTATCGACCCAATAATAATTGGCGAGCGAAGCCCTCGAGCAATAATTGGCGACCGAAACCCCCGAGCAGACTCCCGCCGGCCGGTTGGTTAAATTGTCCGCCAGCCGGAAAACCAATCGGTTTCATCATACCTTCCAAAGTTCCCTTGGGTGAAGATTTCAACGATGGAGTTATTCCGACTAGGAGGTATTCGTTCAGACAGGTGATGAATCAACAGAGGACTCTGTCGAGGAGAATCGGGTGGGTCATCGATTTGACGAATTCGGATCCCTACTATTCCTCGCAGGAATTGATGAAAGAATTCGGTGTGAGGCATACCAAGATTGCTTGTCAGGGGAACGATTCTGATTCTGTACCCGACAATGAGTCCGTGAACCGATTCGTGTACGAGGTTTCTCGGTTTCTTGATCTTCAGAAGAGGCACGAGAACGATCGCGATTACGCCCCGAAATACATTCTGGTGCACTGTAGACATGGCCATAACCGTACCGGATACATGATTGTGCACTATCTGATGCGTACTTCGCCGGAACTATCCGTTACTCAGGCTATCCAGATGTTTGCTGATGCCCGGCCTCCAGGAATTTATAAGCCGGATTATATTAATGCCCTGTATGCGTTCTATCATGAACAAAAACCCGAAACATTTGTTCGTCCCTCAACTCCAGAGTGGGAAAGGTCGAACAGATTGGATCAAGTTTCCGCTGCCGCTGCTACTTTGACTCTTGTTAGTAACGAAACAAATGCTGTCTTGACGAATGATGATGTCTTGGGAGATAGTATACCATTGGAGCAGCGGGCGAATTTCAGGAAGTTCTGTTATCAGGCCTTAAACTTGGCTCCTGTTATTCATGGGAGAGGTGGTGCTGGGAATGGGTATACGCAATTTCCCGGATCGCATCCGGTTTCTCTGAATAGTGAGAACCTGATATTTTTGAGGCAACGCTATTACTCTACCACATGGAAAGCTGATGGGACTAGATACATGATGCTCATTACCCAGGATGGGTGTTACCTAATCGACCGGCACTTTGATTTTCGGAGAGTGCAAATGAGGTTCCCTTGCAGAACTAATGAAGTAGTTGTAGGTGAGAGTATGCACCACTTCACGCTACTTGATGGGGAAATGGTAATCGACACCCTACCGGACTCGCAAAAACAAGTGAGAAGCTACCTCATTTATGATATGATGACAATCAATTCGAAGTCTATTGTAAACTACCCATTCCATGAACGCTGGGAAATGCTCGAGAAAGAAGTAATTGAACCGAGGAACTTTGAGTGGCAACACATTTCTCAATGTAGGAACCCCAACTATAGATATGAGCTTGAACCATTCCAGGTGAGGAGGAAGGATTTTTGGACGCTTTCCACAGTAAACCATATTTTGACAGAGTTCATCCCGAGCCTTTCACATCCGGCTGATGGTCTTATCTTCCAGGGTTGGGATGACCCTTATGTTCCCCGAACGCATGAGGGTCTATTGAAGTGGAAGTATGCAGAAATGAATTCTGTTGATTTTCTCTTCGAGGTGGATCAATATAATGGTGGTTATCATCTATATCTTTATGACCGGGGCAGGATGAAATTGATGGGAGAGGATTATGTTGTGTTCCAAGAAGGCACTGATCCCCTGTCATTCATTGGCAAAATCATCGAGTGCGGTTGGAATGAGGAACAACAGGTTTGGGTATTTATGCGAGTTAGACTAGACAAAGCAACCCCCAACGGATACAACACCTACCTCAAGGTGATGAGAAGTATACAGGACAACATTACTCAGGAAATCTTGTTGGAGAAGATCAATGAAACCATTCAGCTGCCAATGTATGCTCAGTAGAGGTTATAGGGGGTCAGCCAAACTCACTAGTGTTACTTCTCTTGGATAAACAAGTGTTTTGATTCTTACGATCAGATTGCTCTAGTTTGGTGCAAAAGGGCTTCAATAATGTTATCCCTTTAAGCTACTGCGCGTAATTTGATATTCCTCAAACATTTTTGGTTCACATGTAAGGATTGAACTCTTATCTTTTCTGCTGTTCCTTCATTTAGTCTTTGAATTCCTTCATATATTTCCTTTAATTTACAGTACTAATTGCTTGTTCCTTTGTAAGTCTACCTTCACCTATCCCATCTCGGAAGTAAGTAATCTTCTTTTCCCTAATGTTCTTTGCAGTATTTTTCTCAGGCGTGGCTGATGTTACTCATGAAGTAGTTACAATTTTTTAGTGATATAATACGTTAATAACTACTGTCTTTTCTTTGGTTTGATTGCATTACAGATGGTTTATTGGCAATTTCATGTAGCATTAGACATTGAGACCGTCTGATCATATCTTTATGTTCATTCTGTGACTTTGAGAAGGGTAAGTATCATGCAAGTAAAATTGAGGAGACTTATGTTAATCTAATAGCGAAAGCTTCAGCTCAGGTATGCTATTATTTTCATACAAGGAAACTTTTTCACTGGCTGAATTTGCATATTTTGATGCTATCATTTACCTTGGCTTAGGTTTAGCTTAGCTAAAAAGCGACAGGAAGTCATGAAGTGGTCCTTAGGATTTTCTTTATGGTGAAGTGCCCAAGAGATTCGAGCTCATATTTTGAAGAACTGAGTTCATACGTGGAAGGTTTACCTAATGGTCAAGTACTGAAGAAACCTACAATAAACCAGTGTATTTATGAAACTTTGAGTTAGATATGTGTTTTCCTCAGCAACAGACGATGGTATGTGAAGTTTTGCAAGTCTTCAATGCGTAGTAAATGATGACACCTATTAGATGTTTTATGTACTCCGTAGCTTTTCTAGCCATGGTTGATAAAGATCTAGTTTATACTCACGCCCGGAATGAGATTGTACGCTGACAATAAAACGTTGTTCATTGTTAAGATGGTACAAATAGTTGTGGCCTTCAAATAGTTTTGACTTTTCATAGATTTCACCTAGTACATATTTTTCATCGACGAAAAAACCTTAAAAATATATTTTCATATTCGTTGTGTTCTCTTGATTGTTGTGATATTGTTTAAAGTTTTTTTATCTATTAAAAATGTGTACTAGGTTAAACCTAGGACAAATCAAAATGATATTAAGGACCGGAGGGAGTACTAATTTTGTATACTTCCATTAAGTGCATAGTATTGGAAATTTGGAATCTAAAGGAGTTGCAGTATGGGGAATTATCACCCTCCAAGGAGAATACTTGGCTGCAGCTCCTTCGAAACTTAAGGTCTGGAGGAGGAGTTCATCTTGTAGAAGCTCCGAAGCTTCGAACTTGAGGAGACCTTGAAATTTGGAATGAAGGATTTACCTACCTCAGTTTTTTGAACTTGGCAAGTGATGATTGACGAGTCCAAATCAGTACGGCCCGTGACTAGGTCGGCCCAAGTTCGGTGAGAGGTCTAACCAGCCTCTGGAAGCTTCTAGGTCATTTCACAATTACTTTCATATCAAGAAAGGATTCCCTAACCTAGTTCTATAAATAGGATCAACCTCTCATATCAAGTTACGGTTTATGCACTCAATTATATACTTCTCTTACGAATACTCTTACTGACTTAAGCATCAGAGAGTCTACCCTCGGGAGACCCCAAGGCTCTGTCTTGTAGGTTTTAGGGTTTCATAGTCACAATGGCTGCCGGTTCAATCAACTGGAGACGTCGGTGAAGATCCATGTTTCGTCAAGTGACACGCCCAGTGGGACCCCATTAGGGTTCTTCGTCCTCCAACAAATCTCTTGTGAAAAATGTGGGGATGAGATCGAAAGTCTCCCTTCAATTCTTGACGACGGAGGGCAAAACATAGCCATCATCTTAATACGGCATAAATTCAGGCCGAACGATGTCCAGTAGCCCTAGTCCAAACTCCATCATGTACGCACCGCCCTTTAGGTGAACTGGTGATTATACCCACCGAATTCTGGTAAAGTTATATATGTTTACTTTACATCAAGTTTAATACGCTCAGCCTGCTATCAGTTTCGCTGCGGTAAGACAACGGTGACAAATTCACTTGGTTCTTGGTATTAAACTTGGATATTATATACTTTGATAACTAATCCATTATGTTGGAGATTTTTTATGAGTTTGGTACATTCTCGAAACGTGACCCCTTCAAGTTATGATAAGCCGAGGACAATGCACGATTCATGCAATCAAATCACAAACCCGACTGCATAAGGGATCCAGGTTTTTGGTTATTTGATTTGCCTCAATTATATATTTCGGCTGTATACCTAAGAATCACTTCGGATTTATGTCATAAAACTACTTGCTCTTGGTTTTAGTGTGGTAAGACAACCACGGCAAATTCAATTTGTTAATGCACGTGACATACATATGACATCTTTTGCTGATTAATCCATTATATTCATGATTTTGGTGCATAATGGAGACATCCCTGGTACGTCTCCTTCTTATTTTAATTGGCCAATAGCAGTGAAAAGCATCAACAAATAATATGATATTTACATTAAACCTTTTAGCTCTTTAAGGAAGAATACTTATTCTCAATTTTTCCTCCTTGGGTGTATAAGCCACACGAAACTCATCATGCAAAAAACTTAATCATAATTCTTTTGTGATAGTTAAAAGTATCTTTGACGTAGATTGATGTGGCTCAGTTGGATAGGCGCCCTTTACATGAGAATCGATTTGATTATTTTCATTGTCCATAAACTGTCATGATTAATCAACCATATAGCCTAGAAGCATCACTAGTTCAGTGACATAGCAACTTTGCTTCTTGCATATGCGTGATCCCTTTTAAGTCTCAAGGTGCGATTTTGTTTCAATTAATTTATGGGGGTGCATGGGCTATGCTCGATCAAATCGAGAAACGATGGAGAATACAAATTGGCTCCCTCTTTCATCTTGGATGAGATTATTGGCTCTGCTAGGGTTAGGGCAACATCGTTTGCTCTGCCGCTTTCATCCACCCAAGTTTCCGGCTTAGGCTCGCTTTCCTCGTACTTGGGCTCCTTGTCGGTCGGAAAATTTATCACTTTCCTCGCTGCTGCTATTTTCATCAAACTCCCTTTCAATTTCCTCAGTCTCGATCTCACTTTTCTTAAGTTGGCTATGAATTTTCTTAGGTTTGCTATCAATCATCACCTCATGCTCGAGTTGAGAGTCGCTTTTTCTTTTGATGAGAACAGTACGGGCTTCGGCTTGGGGTGAATCCATATTGACGATCAAGATTAAGGGATCAGTAAACTGGAATATGAATTAATCTTGATTGAAAGGTGAAAGAAAAATCAGCTTCTTAATTCTGTTTCCTTTGCAACAAAACCTAGCAACGTCTCTCTCTCTCTCTCTCTCTCTCTCTCTCTCTCTCTCTCTCTCTCTCTCTCTCTCTCTCTCACATTTCTATTCATGAAACAAATTAGTAACACTCATTCTCTCTCTCTCTCTCTCTCTCTCTCTCTCTCTCTCTCTCTCTCTCTCTCTCTCTCTCTCTCATTTCTATTCATGAAACAAATTAGTAACACTCATTCGTCCCTACATAAAATTTTAAAATTTATACTCATTATTTTTAACTTAATTTGTATAAATAATTCTTTCCGGGTGATGAGGTTAGTTGTTTTGAAGAAAGTTTTAAACCCACTCATAAAATAATACTGACTTATTAGAAATTGCTACAAAATATGAAATCATGCTTAAAAAGGAGTTTTTTTTTTCCTTCTTTAAACTGTTTCAAACGTTCACAAAAACCCACTCACCCTATATTGATTTGCTAAGGGTGATCAGAGAAGCTCTTGATATCTTTTAACAATAGGAGTGGTATAAATTATCAAAGTTGATTTTTAACTATCTACATCCACCAGCAAACATTGTAAGACAAAAATTTTAAAGTTTTATACCGATAAAAACAAACCACCCAAACTATTATACATTAATCGATCGATTCCATGGTTTTTCAGCAACTACGACTGCAAATAACAACTGCTTCTTGACATTTCTCCATTTGCAAAGATGTCCGAGATTATACCCATTGACCATTTGTGCACAGGACCGTCTAATCCTAAACTAATTCCATGCTATACTTATACTGGAGAAAGTACATAACGTAGGGCCAATGCAAATATTGTATTGAAAACATTGAGGCAAAATATGGCTTCAATATGAAACGCTTTCATCGCCTCAAAATGATTTTTCCTTTTGGATATATTCTCATATAAAGTTCAATTTCTAGTAAAAGTAATAATCCAAATTAGACAATCATTTTAATAAGGAGGGAATAGTAATTGCATTTAACAACTCGCTCCACACGTGGTTAATCAACCTACAATGGATTAAGTATGCAACCATTTATTCAAAGTAGCCTGTTGTTGGTAATTCAACATCATGTAAGCTTGTAATTTATAAGACACTTACCAAGATAATGATTAATTGCCAAGACAAAATGAAGCCTAAGAAGCAGTATACGCACAAACTAACCTTGATTTGGATATCAACTTGTTGGACATGAGCCTTATAAACATCATTGATCAAGTCTTTGCAAATGAGGCTTAAATGACAAAGACTCATCAATCCAGACAACGTTAGCACATGACAAGGTAGGACTGGCTTTACTAATCTCAAAATTCTAAAGCTTTTCGTGAAATCTAAGAGCATCCGCATAGTCAATTTTAATCCTGAACCCTAATAACAAAAGCACATGAATTAACATTGATAAATACTTACGAAAAATAAAAATAAAAAACAGTCCACACTATATACATGCAATTTATTAAATTTGACAAACCTTCAAAAATTCGAAGAAAGCTTTTCCCCTCAAATATTATGACAGGAAACAAACAAATCAAACCAGATAGAACTGTCTAAGAATATAAGACGATACCAGTAATAAAACATCGCCCTCGGAGGAGGAGAGAAGGCCAAATCAGTTTCTTCTGTTTCCCGGCAAAGACTCCGCAAGCCTAGATACAATTAGATGTGTATATAGGAAAATAATTTCCCAAAAACCAATTAAAAGAATATAACATACAACACTTGTACTTTGGAAACCAAATAAAAAATTAAAAACTATATTGAGAAGTTATTTCCATGCTGGAATTAGTTGCTGCGAAAGAAAGTTTGAGAATAACTTATAAATTATTGTGAAATAATGACGGAACTTATCTCCCAAATAATGAGATGTCAATGCAATAATTTGCAATACTACCATCTACAAATAAATAGTGAAAATGATTTTGAAAAAATGGAAATTACTTTCATCGACTTTGCCATGTTTTTCTAATTTGACGAATCAGTGGACGCCAACAATTATAAAATGGAATCACACAGTATCAAAATGGATCCAAGTCGCGATAACGTTCATGGAATGTCAATGGGATGATTTACTATAAGATCTTTCAAAGATAATAAAAATGATACAAAATATATCATAGATTTTTACCTTCGTCGACTCTCTCATCTGCTTTTCTAAGTAGACGAACAAATCGACATATATATACAATTTAAACATTCAAAGAAATGAGGATTCAAATTAGTCACTAGTAATTCTTTATAATTATAACCAATAACTTGAGGTCGTAGGTCAAAGAAGATCATGAGTGTTAAATATTCTTCCGAATTTCATTTTGTTGACTTTTTTTTTTGGTCGGGATAGAAATGTCGGTGCATAAGTGGATGAAATTTTTGAGAAAGGGAAGTTGCACTTCTGTCTACTTCTCCGTTGCCCTAGATATTGGGACATGTAGTTCGACGAAGTTTTCATAAAGGAATCATGTCCGTTGTCCACTTTTTGTCTTGTTGAAGATGTTGACGCAGAAGTTGACGACGAAGTTATTAGAGAAGAAGTCTGAAATTCGTCGACTTGGTCGAGATACTTATTTCGATGCCCAAGTCGATGAACATTTTGAACACATAAAAAATTAACTATCACCTCATTGACTTAATGTTTCGTGGTGAAAGATGACATGTTAGGCCAGTCTGATATCAGTATATTGATGAAACTGTACGTACTTCTACCTCCATTTCGAAAACAACGTTTCAACACGTCGAGTTATCAACCGACAATTGCAAGACTTTGCATTGGTAAGTTAGAGACACTTGGAATACTTGTACGTTTTTTTTTTTTTTTGGGAAAAAGGTACCTATATTAGTTAACTTGTCAATTGAAAACCTGATGACCCTGATAACATGGTTTTATTTTCTCGAATCCATCACTATTTCCCTGTAGTAAACTTTTTTGTGAAGTTGATATCAAATGGACGGTTTTGAAAACATCCACTTTGGAATGGAGGTAAAAACTTGTGCATAACATACATAAAACATCCCACTCACCCTGTACGGGACATTCAAGAATGTCGAAAACCTTCGAAACATTCATACATGACGAAGAACTCCCTTCCATGATTAATAATAATAGTAATAAATAAAGGTTGATCGCTTGTGTGACTACAATTTCGTCCAACATGAATTCCCTATCCGCAGGAGAACATATTCTTCTAAGAGGCTAAGTTATTTGCCCAAGTTAATGAAGAAAAGAGTTACAAATAATAAGGAAGAAGTTGCTGAACCCTCCAATAGTATGGCCGGAGTTTAAGAAGTAACTTTGTTTGTTCATCTTTTGAGGTGTAAATAAAAATAAAAATACAACACCAAAAATATTATGCCTACGTACCCTTTTTTGTTACTACTGTCTTGGCATTTTTTAACATATTATCTCTATTGTATTAAATATCCCTTGTCAGTCCTCACATTTGTTGTTATGTTCAAATCGAAACTGCGTGAAAATATTAAGAATTTTTCAGATTGTTACATAAGAGAAGTGGTAGAAATTAGTTTGATTTATGCTAGCTAGATCATATATCTTTGTTGCCCGTATTTGTATTAGAAGAATCAGTATATTATCGTTCCTCTTGTTCTAATATTGTCTTGTTCGTCGTTGTTGTATTAAAAACTCTCCCGCTCCAGAAAAAATAATTCAAATCGAGTTTTGAAATTTGTACTTAATTCTCTGTTCCGAAATGATATTCAGTTTGAGATTTCACTATTAGTTTAAAATGTACTAAAAATAAAAATCGAATTGGACAATTATTTTAGGACAAATGAAATATTATATATGTTATTAATATAAATCTCGAACTATTTTTTAAGGACATAGAAAGTACAAATCATTGCAGGACGAAGAATTAGTTTTTTAATTCCTATTAACCAACAAAAAGCCTCTTGATTTAGTCGGAAAATGAAGGGAATCTCAAGAAGCATGAATCTATATATATTCAACGTTTTGGAAGTAGCTAATATAATATCGCCGTAACTAACTAACGAATACTATGTCACAGCATGATGTGTAGCATGCTGGAAATCAGTACAGGCTGATGATTAATATAATCTTGAATTCGATTCTCTTGCTGACATACTAAAAACTCATAATAATACTGCATCAAAATTGACTCAAGAGATGTTATCCATCTATACTGCAGGGGAAGAAATAAAAGTTATGAATGAAAGGATTATTATTTCGGGATTGGTGTTGCAAACGGGGTTTTCCGTCTTATTCCTAAAATAATATTACAAAAAACAGTTTATTTTGAGACGAAAGAAGAATAATTTTTAATACTAATTTGCAGATGATTTAATTATTTGTTTTCATAATTTGCGAGGCCGTAGTTCCCTTTGCTTACTCCATTGAAGAAGTCTCAATATATAGTTTCATGATTTATGTCAAGAGCCGCTTTTTAATAATCTAATCAAAGAATTAGACATTTGCCTGCTTTATTATATCAAAGAAAAAAAAATCTAAGCAAAGGAAAGTTACAGGTCTGCCTCCTCGTTTTGGCATTATAAATAGGACCAAATGGACAGAGGGAGTATTGTATTTTGGTCTAGGAAAGGTATCTGATACTGTCGAAATGTTTCACCTAACAAATTAACTTTGTTTGCAATACAACGTTATAACAAAACGTCAGCGCAGCACGCCTTCACATTAATCAAGGGAGATTAAATATGGACAGATGATTAATAATTACTGTTATCATTTACTTAATAATCATCCCGATGATGAGGATCATTGTTGATGTATTGCACACAAAAGCAATAAACGCGACAATTATTTTTATTACCGATTAAGCATAAAATTAAAAAAAGAAAAAGTTACATTCGGCCGGTCAGAGCAATAAAAGTGACTTCAATTCACAATTTATTAAGAAGCCGACGATCAATGTAGACAACACGAATCAACCAAAACGAATCTGTTCGATGGGCGTAGGTTTTTTTTTTTTTTTGTACAATGAAAATAAAAGCTAATGACAGAAAATAAGGTACGTTTAGCTGCACAAGTAGTTTCTAATGTTTGCAGACTTCCCTTTCTGAAATAAAGCTATTCATACGTTTATACATTTTTTTTCACTTTCTACCGAAAAAAAAAAAAAAAACTATTCCAGACGGATGGAGTACGTATAACTTTTTAGATTTTTAATCATTTTTATACTAGCATGGCATGGTAATCTGGAATTTTTTTTTTAAAAAAAAAAAAAAAGGAAGAAGAAGAAGAAGAAAACAAGAAGTAATGCCCTTTCAGTATCTGCTAATAAGGACCATCTCCAAAGAGTCTGAAGCACGCTTACATTGTCAAACTACTCCTCGGTTACCTCTTATTTCCAGCGTTTGGTGATCATAATACAAGAAAAAAAAAAATGGGGTTATTCCCCTTTTTTCCGCTTGAGAGGACGGCAGGTTGGTGATTTAACCGGCAAACGATGAATCAAATCAAAAAGCATATCATTTGTGCACATGAATATGAAGGTATTGACATTGTACAAGAAATATCGCATGATCAACTCTAATTGTCAACGTATCGAATTTCGGCATTTTAATCATATAATAGCCGTAAATCCATGTTTAAGGATGTCTAAATGATGGATCTTTTTTCTTGGAATGAGTACATAGATATAATTGATGATGTCCAAAATCATAGGCAAACTAAATTCATATGTAACAACACCAACTTAGTCTTGGCCTACTAGGGAATCCACAAATAATTGGTATAATGTCAACTATAAATGTCAAACGGAATCACGTCATTAGCTTTGTATATTGACAAAAAATCATAACTTCGTATCAAAAAGAAATGGGGGAATAGTTGAAATCCAATCACAAGAAACAAAAAGCAGCTAATACTTCATACATGCGGACCGATTCCTTTTGGCTTACTTTTTGTCATATGTACATGAACTTGTATTGGTCTCCTATGTCAGTAAGTTAAAACATTGCTGATGGATCTCTATATAAACAAACTTTACAAATGCTTATTTGTTTCAAGCCCATTTCTGTTCTTGCTCTGACTTTCTAGCTCAAGCCTGCAGTTAAAGAAAGTCTCAGCAAAATGGTAAGGAATCCCGCCTAAGAATAGTAGAATGTCGAATCTTTGCCCTTTTGTTTTCTCCTAGAATGAACTAACCTCTGTATTTCCTTCTTGGGTTATTCATATTCAGGGGATTTGCATGGATGTTGAAAGTAATCAGCTTAACAAAAGAGCTGGCCGTGGAGGAAGAAGAGCATCCTTATTCGTCTATGGTAATGAATCAGTTCCAGCTTCTATGTTAGTATTAACCATTATCCAGATGGTATGTTTTGTAGATGTTTCCCTAACTTTTAGTTTAACACCAACATCGTGCAACTGCAGCATTGGCTGGTCTAGAGAATACGGCATTTCTTGCAAATGCTGTGAGCTTAGTGACTTACTTCTATGGAGACATGCACTTCAACCTGACAAAATCGGCTAATGCACTCACAAACTTGATGGGAACTACTTTCTTGCTGTCATTAGTCGGAGCCTTTATTTCTGATACTTACTTATCAAGATTCAAGACTACAATTCTCTTTGGATGCTTAGAAGCTGTGGTATGTAAACATTTTATAAGACTCTGTATTATCCTATTTCTTCGGTTTCTTTTCCACTTCTCATGTTAAAACTGATAAAACAAACCAGTCCTATGTAGTATGGAGTAATAGTTACTAAGTGCTGTCCTTAGTCAAAATCATAAGCTGATTCCGACGACAAGTGAACAACCACATACTAAGTACGGTGCCTTGGTCTTTTACTCATTATAACACAACTACCCAGTACTTTGTCCAATCTTAGGCCTAAAAGATCTTAAAAAGGAAAAAAACATGACTTCACTAACTGAAAAGGCACCAAAAGAATCTAGCATGCTACCTTGCCAAGAATCTGTTTTTACTGGTCATTTGGAGACATCCTTCGAATTTTATCATTCTTCCTAGAAGAAAAGACAAATCAAACTTCTTTGACTTTGAATGTTGCTCTGCCGTCTCCTGTCTAGTACTTCTGATGGAGTATTTAATTTAGCATTCCAAAAGCCTTAACAAACTGCCCATTATTACAACAAGAAGACGAAGATAAACCAAGATTCCCTTTTGTAGTATCCGTTATATGAATTTTATTATGCCAACTTCCCTGTTTCTCATTGCGATACTATGTTCATTAAGCATACCTCTACATTTTCAGGGTCTTGCTCTACTAACAGTACAAGCACATTTCCAACAACTAAGACCCCTACCCTGCAAGGATGCAGCAGATCTGCTTACAAATCACTGCCCCCAAGCAAACACCACCCAAGTGACTATCCTGTACGTGGGGCTATATTTGATGGCATTTGGCAATGGGGGTGTAAAAGCTGCATTGCCAGCTTTAGGAGCTGATCAATTCGACGAAAAGGATCCAAGGGAGGCACCTAAACTAGCAAGCTACTTCAACTGGTTGTTATTCTCCATAACTTTTGGAGCTATGTTTGGGGTCACCTTTTTAGTCTGGATCAGTTTGAATCAAGGTTGGGATTGGTCCTTTGGGGTTTGCACCATTGCTGTCATTGTAGGACTCTTATTCCTAAGCATGGGAAGATCACTCTACCGGAATAATGTCCCACAAGGAAGCCCTTTTGTACGGATTGCACAGGTATGAACGTGTGGATTCTAAACAGAACTGCACAACGCCTTATTAATGACATCATACAAAGGGGAATTAACATAATGCAAGGCTAACCTTCCACACAGGTATTTGTAGCTGCAATCAGAAACCGGAGTCTTCCTTTACCGGAGATGGCTGAGGAGTTGCACGAGATCCGCAACAGGGAAGCTGGAAAAGATGTTGAAATTCTTAATAGAACTGATCAGTTTAAGTATGTTGCCAACTTTTCAGTGTTTTAAACTTCTTGAAAACAAGTATAAAGCTTTGAATTTCCATCACTAACCAAATTCCACCACCAAAAAAAATGCAGATGTTTGGATAAGGCAGCCATTGTTGGGGGTGCAGACGAATCTACTCACCCCTGGAGAACTTGTACAGTAACACAAGTTGAAGAAATAAAGATTCTACTTCGCATGCTTCCCATTATACTAAGCACTGTTTTCATGAACACTTGCTTGGCTCAGCTTCAAACTTTCTCCATCCAGCAAGGCACCACAATGGACAGAAGTATCCGAGGGTTTGAAGTGCCATCATCGTCAATTTCATTCATTCCCCTGTTCTTCATGACTCTAGCCATACCAATATACGAGCACATTTTCATCCCAGTAGCTAGAAAGTTTACTGGAATCCCAACGGGAATCCGCCAACTGCAGCGTGTAGGGGTTGGACTCGTGCTTTCTATAATATCAATGGCCATAGCTGGAGTTGTGGAAAGCCGAAGGAAATCTGTTGCTGTAGAACACAACATGGTCGACTCAAATGCCCCTTTGCCAATGAGTGTATTCTGGTTGGGCATCCAATACGCTATTTTCGGGATGGCTGACATGTTCACATTGGTGGGACTATTGGATTTCTTCTATGCAGAGAGCTCATCAGGCATGAAGTCTTTAGGCACAGCCATTTCCTGGTCTTCGCTGGCATTTGGGTACTACACGAGTTCAGTAGTGGTGGATGTGGTAAACAAGGTGAGTGGTGGCTGGCTGGAGAGTAACAATCTGAACAGAGATAAGTTAAACTATTTCTACTGGTTGCTAGCAATTCTAAGTACAGTCAACTTTGGATTTTACTTGATGTGTTCATCCTGGTATAAGTACAAAAAGGTTGAGATGAAGCAAGTAGATGCTGATTCTAATGGTAACTATGAGGAAAAAGTTTAAGCAGGAAGCATTGGAATGCTACAATCTAGATTACAAATAGAGACATGGCATACATGTAACACTAACTCCCATGTATGCTATTTTCCATCATTTGTCAATAAGTAAACAAAAGAAAGAAAAGTACAAACTTTTCCATGAGTCCAATTGGAAACAAATTCTCACTTCCAGGTCAAGACGTTACGAGTTACAACACACAGTACGACTAAGAACATCAAACATGTAGATGCTAGATGTAAACTCACAAGGGAACCAAAGAAAAATATCAAATAACACTTCCCAGCCTGAATTAAATAGTGACAAGAAAATAACGAACCCTGTCTCAGCTTTCAATATGCTACATTTTGCCAATTGCTGCAACTGGACTTATACATGTGAGTGTGACATTCAGTATAACGAAGTCTTAAATGAGCCAATCCATTCAATAGACTAATCAAATCAAAGCCAAACAGAGAGGGAAAAACAGGGGTACTTGATTCAAATGACGACAAGCCTCTGCTGGATTATAAATTTATGGCGTGTTACCATAGATTCTATATTGGAGAACCTACATGATTTCTCGGAGTTACAAACAATTCACACTGAGTTCTTTTATGGCACTCCACAACTTAAATTCAATGATAGAATGACTTCTGCTAGAGGCCAATTCAACCAAAGAGCATAAAGCAAAAGAGAAACATCTACATCTTCAGCAAGCTTTCTTTTCCAATTTTTATTTGCACCACTTTACAAAATTTCATTACAACTACATCTGTACATAACCCAAACAGGTATGGATTGAGTTAATTCGTATAAGAGAAGATGACAAGCACATGATACAAAAATGTAACTGGATGTGACTGAAGAAGAGCAATCCATTCTACCTACCATTTCACATCCAATGTGAGAGCCTCTTGGGGTACAAGCATGGATGGGAACTTCGTGAAGGAAAGGTTTGAAAACAAATTGCTCAACGCCTTTGAGTCCACTTCAATGAATGGCCTGAACTTCTTAACAGATAAAGGCTTCATAACCTCTGCATCAAGTCTACCCACTACATCAAACCATAACCGTTCAACAGTAGGCCTAGTACGCCACTCAGCTACTGAACTCCAATAACTATCATTACCATGAATATCTCTTTCCAGTTCCAGCTGGAAACGAAATGTAGACGATTCAGTAATCTTTACTTTTACAGAGCTTAACCTTGCAGTTTGGTTGGCTTTGTGACCAAGAAAAGTCAACAGAACTCTTTCTAACAGAGCTATCCTCGGGTTCAGGAAGTTCAAAGGAGAAACCCTGACTGGCACTTCAATAAGCCTACTGTAACATTTCCAAGGCAGCAACCCAACTGTTTTATTGGAGAAGAAAGCGGTTTTGATGAAGGACTCGGGATTTTGTGTCCTGTACGCTGACACCGTTGCAGAACCTACAATCCAGATAGAAGGCCAGGCCATGCATGAAGCAGGCCACAGGTACCCAACCCCACTTCTCTTCAATGTACTACTCAGATCACTTCCCTTGAACTTTCCAAGAAGATCAGTGGGATGATAAAGAGAAATTTCTTCGGCACCTTTGATCTCCACAGTGATACCTTCACCAATTTTGATATTTTTCAAACCAGGAAGCGAATGATTGGACTGGAGGATAAAACGAAAGATACAAACCGTAAGTCTTTTAGCACTGCCTTGAATCATTGATACAATGGAATAAGACAAGTTCCTTCAGAAAGGTTACAACCAAAATACAGCAAACTTGACCTTATGACAAATTTCGAAAGACTGACCAGCTTATTAGAAAGAATGGAAAAGCTACCCTCAAACTATATGTGTTCGCATAAGCATTTCTCGTTTCAGCCTGGGGCGTTACTGATGTAAAGTCAAGCTTCAAAAAGGGATATGATAATGCAATTCTCTCTATCATGGACGCAATCAAATTCAAACAGAAAACTCATATGAGCTAAATATGTAAGAGTAAAGGGATAGATCAAAATCGAGATTAATTCTTATCCAGATGACAATAGCTTCAAACATTAAGATTCTCTAGAACTAAAAAGATTAAAACTGGGGAAATGAGGGGAAAAAAGAAAGCTCACAATGAGCAAAGAGAAAAGAAAAATACCGGCAAATTCAGAGTGAGCTCGTGATCTCCTCTAACACGCAAGTGAACAGGGCCTTGAATTTCCAAAGTGTCGAGCACAGCGTTTGAGCTATATTCACGAACTAAAGCTTGAAAATCAGATTCATTTTGTACACCATCGAGTCTCTTCCAGGATGAAACTTGATCCAACAGCTTGAAAACAAAATCATTCCTGCCAAATCGAACTCGGAACTCATACCGACGCAAATCTCCAAACTTGAGTTTGTTTACATCCAATTTAGAAACCCGAATGTCCTCCAAATCCCACTTCTGCTTCTTTGCAATCTCCTTCAACACATCCTATTCAAAACCACAGACAAAAAAAAAAATACCAATTCATGAACGATTAATTTTTTAGTTTTTCATTAATCAAGGAAAAGTTTAAAAAAAAAGTAATTAAACAAGTATTGGGGAAAACACTACCTTGAAGAAAGGAGGAGCGGGTTGAGGTTCCGATGGGTTCTGCTGAAAGACAAAGCCATTTGAGAAGGGATAGAGGAAGTGAGAGATATTGAAGGCAGGTATTGGTTGGGAAGTAGACGATGATTGAGTAAAGGAAGTGAATATTATTAATAAAAGTAATAATGGATGGAAATGGTGGAATTCAAAAATGTTGCGGAAGAAGGTGAAGAGGGATTGGGATTCATTTACGGACATAACTACACTCAAGTTCGGTTGTGCAACTTCACCGGTACAAGGTATTTTGCCGGGGGATTCGTGGTTTTCGTATCGTCAGTTGGCGGTGGCGCGGTGGCCGGTTTGGGTGGTGGTAACTACTGAAACGACGATGCCTTTTGCGCGGAAACTTCTAAAAAAAAATGGAGAAAATAATACAAAGTAATAAAAATAATTTTTAAAGGATATATTCCTCTCTCTTTTCTTTTTTGTTTTTGTGAACTGAAGTCGCTGCGCCTTTGATATTTTCTTGATTTCTCTGTTTTTTGCCCTTTTCATTTTCATTGTCCTTGTCTGTATGATTGCCTTAGCTTAAATTGAAAACATACAGTACGTTACTATATAAACAATTGTTGCATCAAACCATCAATCGTCTGTTTGCGCACTAATCAACTTCAACTTCAAATAATAATACAGATAAATTCCCAAATATACTTTTTTATTTCAGTGAAATTCCCAAATATACTAGACTGAATTACAAAGCATTCTTATTCAAAGAAGTAACAACGCATTTGTTCTGCCATGTTTTAATTTGCGTGCAGCGAAACAAGGCTGACAGCGGTGATGAAACACCAGTTGATACAGACTACAGAGCATTTGCTCGCAAAGGTTGATATTATTAGAACAAATGGGTGAGAAAACCGGAAAACAGCAGCCAACTTAGAGGCTGTAATTCTAGCAAACTATCAACCAAACTGATGCATAAACATATCCATCCATAGAACGGCTTCGGCAAGTTCATCAATGGGCGTTCAAGGTGGTTAAAATATTCACAACGGCTCAAGTAGAGCCCAAGAGACCATCTGTGGTGGCCTGAGATTGAAATTAAGAAACCAGTCTCGAGACCCCTTTCATACAAGGCAGTGCTTGGAAGTCAAGACACTCATCATCCCTCAAAGTTACATTCAGGCTAGTCATTCGGCAAGTCTTAATCAACAGATTGATCAGGATCATAAAACAGTTTGCTTAGTCACTGGGGAGTCCAACACAGTGGTGGATACTTTAGAAGGAGGCCAGTACCGAAATGCTGATCTACCAAGAATGTTTTTCACTGGAAGAGGACCCCTGAAAATGATCAAAGATACATACAACTCAGAAGATGAAGCATTACTCCCAAAAGGCTTGAAAGCTTGGAACAAGTATTTTTTGGTTCATTCGACAACATATATATATCAACGATTAATTCTACATAGGACAATATTATCTACTAGAATAGCATAAACTTTAAATTGACAGAATTGAGTGTTATCACACAAAAAAGATACCTCACAGAATTTACTACTGGCCAAAAAACAAGGATTGGATCAAAAGATAGAACTTAGCAACAGCTGTCCTAGATAAACAACAAAAGGAACAAACAATTTACCAGTTGTGAGAGTCGAAACTGTTGTTGCGGTTATCACCCAAAACAAACACATAGCCCTCTGGAACAAGCTACAGAAATCAAAACAAAGAACAGCAGAAGATGTATTACATATCAAGGCGAAGGCTCAAAGTTCTCAAATTGCAAAAATACAATAAATAAAAGGAAAGAGTTGAGAGCTAACCACTGGTTCCATCTCATAAGCAAGTGGTTCCAACACAAATTCCTCATCTTGAGCAACACCATTGACCAATAATTTCCCATCACGAACCTACAGTTAGATGAGTATTGGCAGTAAAGTAAGATAAATCGCAAGTTCCAACAATTATTGCAGAAGAAAAACCACCTAAATACAAGAACAAGAACATACCTCAACCCAGTCCCCAGCTTTAGCTACAATTCTCTTAATGAATACATCTCCAGAACCAAAACCATAGTTCTGCAGGATACAGCACAGTAGTAATAAGTATACCACTCTAGGCTGGTGTTAACATATAGTAAAAATTGACAAACCAAATGACAAAGGATTCAGCATATGCATTACACACTTGAAGTATTTGAGGAGCTTTAAATATCACTATATCTGAAACTTCGGGCTTCCTGAAAACATAAGAAACCTGCAAAGCAAATTTGTACAGATAAAGGGTCAGGCATGCAAGAGTCACATTAGTAATGGATGCAAGGAAAGATCACTAAATAAAACAGAGAACAATTATTAATGATGGTAAGCTGCACCTACTCGAATACTAAAAAGAGACATACTAGATACTCATGCAAAGGTTAAAAAAAATAGAACACCAGTATTCAACCAGACTATTAGTTCAACAAAAATGAAAGATCGATAACAAATAATATCCTACCAGTCCACACAGCTAGAGCAAAGGATATGAATGATCTTCATTCACAACACTAACAAAAACTCCCCCCGGAGCACATTTCTGATAGAACAAGTAAGATTCATGGAAGAAGCTCACAGAGCTCAATAAAACCATAATTTTTTACACCACTTCGCCTCCTCATACACTCAGCAGCTATCTAAATTTGAGAAACCAATGCTTAATTGATTTTAAAAACATACAAGTTACTCAATAAATAATTCACCATATTCACAATTCAATAGCATTCCTAATGAATGAAGAACAAAAAAAACCCAAAGACAAAATACCAAATGTTCACAATTTTACCTTCTCGGCCATAATGCGATCGCCTACATCAAGAGTGGGATACATGGAGGTGGAGGGAATCGATCTAGGCTCAGCCAAAGATGATTTGAACAAAATACTAACACTCAAAGCAGTAAAAGCAGCTTTAGCATCATCTGAAGATACGTTCAACAACTTGGAGAGCCAACCACTTTTCGACACCTTCAAATTTTCAGACATAACAGCCGATGAAGCACCGGCAACGGAGGCAATTTTACTCCTGTCCACGACAGGCCCTTTACTAGCTACCATATTGCTGCTGCTGCTGTCCGTCTGAGCAACAGCAGCTGTTCCTCCCTTATCCACTAAATTACTCGAATGCCCAATACTGGGCTGACTACAAGGCAGCCACTTAGAGGTTTGTAAGAAGGGGATGATTGTTCCCGGCTTAACAGGCGAAATCCCAAACACACCCGTCAAGCAAGACGATGTGTACGAAGAGGAGACAGAGGAGGAGGTGGTCGCTTTCAACAGAGAAATTAGCCCGACGACCAAAGGGCTTTGGGTTTGTCCTCCAAAAACTTCGGCGGCGATGGTAGAGTACGCCGATGTGGAGGAGAATCTGTAGGGAGGAGACTTGGGCTTGGTGGGTCTCGGCCGTTGCCGGAATTCAGAAGGGTAAGAAGTAGGGTCGGGTTTGAGGCGGGAACGAGCGGCGGCGCACTCGTGGAGGAACCGGCAGTTGGAAGCGGCGTTGGCGGCCTTGGTGGAGGCGCACGCCACCAGATTCTGGGCTATGTAGCCGGAGAAAACGATGGTTGATCGGATCGCCATAAGAACTAATTGTAAAAAGACGATCAAGAAGTGTAAAATTTCGGGGTCGGAAAAGGACGGGGAGGACAGTAAAAGCCCTAAAACAAAGCAAGAAATGCCATCGAAATGAAGATCAGTGATGAATCGGAGAAAGAATGGGGGAATTGAAAAGTTCTAAATCGAACGATCGGAAATAAAGAATAGTAGGTCAAAGGTGAAAATCCTACGGCTGACTTGGAGATTCAGATGCAAAAAAATGGATAATCGGCGGCGTTGACTGGCTGAGAGAAGGGCGGAAGGCTGAGCTGAGCCTCAGAGAGAGAGAGAGACAGAGAGACAGCTCAGGTGAGAGAGAGAATGTGAGACGATGAAACCGAACCAACAAACTGGGAGAATTGGGAAGGATTTTGGGTTAAAACAAGATGGAGAAAATAGGGCTGGTGCGGCTAAATCACCCATGATGTTGATCGTAATTACGGAAAAGCCTTTTCCATTGTGGAATAATTGATTGATTTTCTTGCTTTCGTTTATAATCCTTAATTTTAGAGGCTATTTTAAATTGCAATCTAACTTTAAGAAAATACATATTATCTATTTATAGTATATTATACTAAGAGAGAAATCAGAGAAAAAATATAAAAAGTGATTATCCAATACATTCCTCAAAAAAATATTTTACACATTTATATTAATAGTCCTTCGAATTTTATATATTTAAATGTTTATCCAATCACATTTAAAACATAAGTTAAAATAGGAAAATATAAAAATTAAACTGATAAGAATTAATGATCAAGAACAATCTATATTACTATATTTGGTAACAACTAATCAACTTTAATGATAAGAACCAACTAACTTTTATCTATATTACATTTTCCTGAAATTTTTTAATTTAATATTTAATTCACTGCAAGAAAGAGTAATAAATATTAACGTGATCTACAGTATTTCACTCAAAATAATCCCCAACATTAAGTTTGTGCGAACGAGACTAATCAATCAATATTAATTCACTTGATTTTTTTTAATCCGCCAATTCAAAAACAATTCCCCCAAAAAAATATATATTTCCCAACTCAATCATCATTAATAGACTAAAATGTCCAAATGGTCTCTTACATTTGGGCTTACTTGATTTTATATCTCTAATATTAATATTTTAATACTGTGGTCCCAAACATTATGTTTTCACACTTTTTTGGCCCCATTTCACTGTTTCGACCACTTTTCCGTCCAACTCGATGTTGACCATCAGCTGACATACCGAAATTTGGCCGAAATTTAGCCGACCGGTCGCCGGTCGTCGGCGGCCCAGCGGCGGCAGGAGGTGGTTCGGCGATGGGCAGCGGTGGTGGAGGTGTGGAGGTAATGGTGTAAAAATAATATTATTTTATTTGAATTTATATCCCAACAACTTTTTGAATTTTCACTAAAACCACATTTTAAATTATATCTCCAATTGAAACTAAAAATTAAAATAAACTATGTTTTATTCGGATTTTCGCCCCCTCAATTTTCTTCCCTTGGGCCCGCTGAATTTTTTACTTCGACCGAATAAAAAATTAGTAGTGAAAATCTGGATTAAAAAAATATAGTTTGCTCTTTTTTAAACAAAAAATTAAAGTTTGAATTATTTATTGTAGCGCGGTAAAATTTTAGAGTGATACGGGGTTAAAAATGAAACGTAATTAATATTTATTTTGTATCCAGCATAAATGATAAATAGAAAAAGTAATTTTTAAAAAATAATGTAAATTTAAAATTTTATAATAATATTTTAAATTAATAATTAATATTTTAATAATTAAATAATTAAATGTGAATTTTATAATATTTTTAATAATTTAAATTTCAATAAAAGTTTAAATTATATGAAAAGATAAAAATGCCCCTGATTCAGGCATGTCCACTACCAGTCAACATCGAACTGGACGGAAAAGTGGCTGAAACAGTAAAATGGGACCAAAAAAATGTGAAAACATAATGTTGAGGACTACGATATTGAAATGTTAATGTTCGGAACGTAAATTCAAGTAAACCCAAATATAAGGGACCATTTGGACATTTTAGTCTCATTAATAATCCAATTAACATCTACGTAGTCATCACCATCAATGTATCACATTTACCATCTAAATAAGATTTGGAAAAAAAATTGAGAATATATGTCACTGATAAGCTAATCGGATGAGTATTATAAAATCAATCTCCAAATCAAGAAGTTGAATTAAGAAATTATCACTATTGTCATTAAACTTTGAACCAGTATAAATATTGATCAGCCAACACCTCAAGGCCATTGACGCTCGATTAAACCCTAAGAAGCTATGCAACCAAACTTACTATATACATTCAAACCTTTTGCTATGGTAAAAGCAATTTTTTCATGGCAAAAGTTGGAGACCTCATATTGATTATATCAAATTCGAGATTGATAGCGAATGTTCATGTTTAAATCTTGAACTGGGTATATATAGAAGAACAGAAGATATGGACTCTCATGAAATATGGCAGAACGGATTATATTGGTTTACATAAGACAAGGCACTATGCAAATTAGTATTAATTTATTTTCTAATTTGGGATTTGTAATATGCTTATTCTGTAATAGTTTTTCAAACTAATTTTCAACTTGATGCCTAATAATTCATGTCTCTCCACAACATTGATCTATCATCCAAAGTACAAACAACTGTCTCAGGTTATAAATTTGTAATTTTCAAATTATACATTAATTTCAAAAATCAATGTTATTAACTATTCTCCCGTACTTTTACCAACAAAAAAAAAACTATTTTATGTGTCAAAATAATTATTCATATGAAAATTGTATTGAATGTGAAGATTCAAACATAGCATTTATTTTGAAACGTAGTGATTATTTGTCTAATTATTTTATGTAGTTTTGATACACAATCTAGAAGTCCAGCTCACAAAAGAAGACATCACATCGATCGTCATCCGGAACGGATTCAATCTTTAAAGTTCGCCAAGAAAATACGTTTTAGATCATCAAGATGAAGACAAAACAATACACTGCTGGAAAGCATTTAGTATTTTTTAAAATAATCTTTGGATTAGTTTGGGATAAGGAGATTGTTGAGATTTTGTTATCTTCAAATGTTACATTTATATTTATAATATAGCATTAGTTTACAATAACTAATTAATTGCCATCATTGTTTTGCATTAATCAAGGCTTCAACACGTCAAAGTTTATTAATCTTATCTATTAAATGCGTATATCCAAGTTTTGTTGAATTATTATGTTTATTATTTATTTTTAAATTGGTGTGTATTAATGTGTTTACGTGTGACAAACAAATTCAAAGTTATAAGGGAAAAAAAGCCTAATTACAAATAATTTTCTATTCTATTGCTAATATCATGTTTGTGCATTTTTAATGACAAAACCTTAAGATGCATAAGATACTTGAAGCCTTGAACCCATGCCACTCACTAGATATCCCTAAAATGTACTTATACATAAATTATAAATTGTATTCTTACAAAAAAAAATCAGTGCAAACATAATTTTCCATAAAATTATACATTTTATTCTTTTTCTTTGTGATTAGTCGAAGGAGTCATTTGTCCATAAATTAATCTATACTTGGTGTTTCATTTAATTTTGGTTGTATAAGATGTATATTTATCGCATTAATACATTTTTCCTGTGCAATCTGTGATCTATTGTCATTTTATAGATGTAATATTTTTATTTATAGTGATGATGTAATTTACTTTTGCTCATATAATATCTACCGCTACAAACAAAAAATTTTATTGTATTTACCACATTTAAAATTTTAAAATATTTTTTTATAAATGTATATGAATAAACCCCGCACATCGTGCGGGTTTAACATCTAGTTGTAACTAAATTCATTTGAAAATTGAAATGATTATATCATGTAATTTGTAACCATTTATGTAACCAACATATAATCTTTCCGCTTTACTTTGATAAGTCAATTTATTTTTTTTTGTTTCACTTTAATAATGTAATTAGTGGGTGACCCGCACGCATGGACGAACCTAGCGGGGAGCAAAGGGGGTCTGTCAACTCTGTGATCGGCAAATTTTTACATATTTTTTGAAAAAAAAAATTCTAGTTATGATTGACTATGCAAATAATTGGGCCTGGTTCCGTCACTGCCCGCACGTTGTGCGGGTTGTAAAATTTTTCATGTATCATTGTTGTAAAATAAAGATTATCAAAAAAATGTAAAAGTAATCGCGTTGAAAGATACATTTATATATACTCGCTTAGTCCTAAAAAGATATCCAAAATTCTTCCAAAAGTATAGTATTGTAACTAAACCATAAGACTCAAATTTTATCCATTAGAGAGTGTTTCTCTTGCTCCTCTCATATATAATGGTGAATTTGAACCATATACCATTATAAAAAGAAAAAAACATATATACCTTATTACAAAAAGAGCCTCTTTAACTATTGCGCCGACAATTCTCACTTTGTTCTTCATTTTGAGTCGTTGACGAAACTAATACACTACTACTAGTAGGTTCGCAAATATAGTTGACATGGGTGGGGTTGTAACTTGTAACGCAAATAGGTTTCTACCAATAATATAATAAACTAAAGGGAAAATATAAATAAAGGGTCTGTTGCAATTTTGACTTTGACTGGCAAAAAGAAATATATATGTAATTTGATGATATCGTGGTGGCAGGCAGTGAAGGTTACGGATGATGCAATGAACAAAACAGGGACCATTTGAAAAGAGATGCTTCCTGGAAATTGGTCAAATCCCCCCCCCTTTTCCAGGCAGTAGAGAGCTTCATTCATTCAACCCCAACTTTTTAATTTGGAATATTCAATTTCATCAACAAACTGACTGAAACACTGTGTGTGTGTGTGCGCGCGCGCGCGGGCGCTAAAGCCAAAAAGGGCACAACCGCTTCATTTATAATTAACCGGAATCGGCTTCTAAACTCTACTAAGATATTGACGGTTTCGGGCTTCTGCATTGGCGTTGAAAAGTAAAAGAAGAAACAGTTCTTTGGTGCCGGTGGCTTTAAAGTTTTCACTGTGCCTTTTTGTGTCCTTTTTTATTTTATTTATGTTTCTTTTATCGTCATGGTTTTGTCCCTAACCCAGAAAATAGGATTATAGGAAGAAAGTTGGAGGATGGACTCATTCAACCGTCAAACTCAAATATGTTGAATCAATTTTAAAGGGAAAATTAGGGACAGTGTAGTAGTAAATGAAGCCGCCATTGAAAATAAAACTACCGCTTTTTCCTTTTATTATTAGAGGCTTGAAATATGATTTTTTTAAAAAAAAAAAATTCTTTTATGTAAGAAGTTTTTCCTTTTCCAGCATTAAATAAGTATTTTTAATATTTACCACCTACTAACTAATAAAAAAATATTCCAATTACTAGTAGTATCATTAATATCATAAGGTCAATTTAGAAATTTGTTGTGACAAATAACTAAATTAGGTTAGTCTTATTGATGTGTAAAAACTTCTCATGCTAAGGAATGCGGTAGTAATAATAATTGTTACAATGAATAATGTGAACTTAGAACCGAGAGCATTAAGCATAGTAAATCTTGATTATTAAATATTTCAGTGATGATCGAAAAAATTAAAAATATCCGATGAAATGATTCAGCAAACTTCCAACAATTCATAGCTTTGTTTAGATTCAAGTTTCGAAACTCAATTTACACTATTTTTTGGATAAAGATAGCATAAATTTTAATTCGTATCAATCACGTCATTTTCTTTGACATTCTTCGCATTAAAAAAATATATACACAATGAAAAAGTTCCAAAAAAAAATTATGTGTTACTAGCAAATACCTTACATATTTTTATTTTTTTTAAAAAAAAAGAAATGCCAAAATCTCTTCCTTGGGTAAATCATCAAGATCAACCCTAATTACAAATTAATCCTAACCTATTTGCTGCACGTGAAGTGAGCTTAGAGGGGATATGGGTTTTTTCTGCTGCAGGTGTGACGGAAGCCCTTACATCATCCAAATACCCACATGTTCATGGATCTTGTTTTACTTTTGTTTCTCACCTGATTAATTGTTGTCCCTTCCACTAAGTAAACTTACTAAATAAAAAGAATGATTGCAGTACAGTTCATTGCTTAAGTCAACGAGTCGACTGGACTTCTTGTACTTTGCACTTAATACTCGTATTCTTTTAACATTTGTACATTATCTAACTAATTTAGATTTAAATCGGATTAAAAAAAACAAAACAAAACAAAACCCCACAAACGAATGTTCCGATCATTAGTGCATACTATAAGTCATAATTGCGTTTTGGAAATCATTGTTGTTATAATAACCATCAACTTGAAAATTTTAGGTTCAAATCCTTGAAGATAACAAGTGATCGATAAAAGTCATGTTACCTTCATCACTTTACCTAGATATGGATCACGAATCATAGTTGTAATATTAACCACTCAACTTGAAGGTTTTAGGTTTTAATCCTTGCACAGAATAAGTAATAAGAGTCATGCCACCTCTATCATTTTACGAAAATGTGATCCATATCAAAATGTAATGAATGTCAAATTTAACAAGAAAATCTAAAGCCTACGCAGGAATCTCTCGCTTATAGTGATGGAGGTGATTGCCGTAAATACAATCTGAAATCTTTTTTGGGTATTAGAGAAGGAGGTATGCGCAAGAGATCTCTCGTTAGTAATGGATATGCACAAGTGTATGTCATTTTGTTTAATTACATAAACTTTTCTTTCGCATTTCCTCTTCAGTATTCTTTAATATTGTAGTATTTATAGACATAAAAAGAAGGCTTAAAAAATATAACGGAGGAGAGAAAGAAGAGAATCTTGGATATTTTTAGGATTTTGGGAGCAAATGGTTCCTTGTACATGACTAACTATTTATAGACTAAGAGAACATGTATAGTTCCCAACTTCCTATCACTTCTTACTACTATTTTAACCACTACTATTTTTAGAATAACTTCTTACTACTATTTTAACCACTACTCACATAATCTGAAATCATGTTACCATATCCCTAAAATTTTGCAACAAAAAACACTTAGTCAAAACCTCGATAAAATATTAAAAAACAAAACAAATTAGTAAGGTAAATTATTACTAACAAATATTTCTTGTACACATGTCTGCAAGTTGCCAAAAAAATTTACACTTGTGAAATAACTTCTTTTACATGAAATTAAAAGTGCAAAAGGTACAAAAAGGTTGGGCAAGTATTGTGCAGGATACCAGCAACTGTAAGACTTGGACCTCGTTGGGCTTTACTATAACAGGCTGAATCGTGTACGATCCACCAACAAATTCTTCTAATGTGGATGTAATATGGGCTTAAATGAAAGGGCTCTTCATTTCAGCACATGTTTCCTCGTGATTCTTCATCTCACAACTGCTCATGAGCCCATCCAATCAACTTATAATCCTGTTTAGCTTCATGTCGGCGGAATGGTCAAAACTATAAATCTAAGCACAAAGATATTGTTTCTTATTAATTAGATTCTTTATGGGCTAGATTCCAGATTAGTTTTGTTATTAAACTCAGAAAAAAGTCCTTTTTTGGTGTTTTCTTTTTTTGGCGCATGCTGCCCAAATTGACCATCGCTTTCGGCTGCGACAGTTTTTATTGAGGTTTTATTTAATTTTGGTGGTCCATTTTTCATACTAATAAATCATAGCAATGGCAAACAACCCGCCAAAAGATGTAACTTGTTATTGATATTTCATGTAATGTTATTATATGAGGTGCTAAAAAATGCATCAATATTGCTGGTAAAATATAAGTTTTACAAGTGGAAAGTCACAAAAGGTGAAAAACAAAGCTAACAAGGAACGTCATGTTGGGTGGTTAATCTTATTTTTGTAGGAAATGTAGAACGATACGTGATCAATATCACAAGTGATAATACTCTAACATTCTCATTTAAAATTCACAAAAATGTATATAAAAGATCTCTTTTGGCGATAAAATTGGATTGGCGGTTTATGTGGTTGAAAATTTGTAGAGATGGGGGTTACTTGTAGGAATGATTAGTGTGGAATATGTTTGGTGGTGATAATTTTTTTTATGCTGCCTTTTCAATTATCATATAATGTTATCTTTTTAGTTAGATGAGTACTAGGTGGGAGGTCGGGTGGGGCGATTAGGGATTAGGATGAGGATAGTTATTACCTGGAGGTCGAGGGTTCGATTCTTACTGAGACTATCTAATTTTTTTTAAAAAAAATAAAAAATAAAAATAAAATAGTTAGATGAATACTGTGGAGTCAAAAATCCATTATTGATGGGCTTGTTATAAACTCTAACTCCTAAAGGCGGCACTATAGATCTTGGTCTTTTAATTTTCCTTTATTTTTTGAAGACATTTTTCTTTCATTAGATACTGAAATGAAAGTGTCTTCATCGTATTTTAATAATTTTCATTTTTAATACACCAGTCTTCGATAACAGTTTCTATGGTTCCACTACTACCAAATTCAAGCTTGATTTAAGAGCTTCTCCAAAGTCCAAAAGAGTTCATACAACAACTCTAAACTCAAAATGAACGCGCGTCAAGGAACATTATTAACTAGTTGTATGCATAAAAGTCCAAAAGAAAGGCTGTGATATATGTGTAACGGAAGTTCCAAAGATTTTCTTTACCTTTCTTCAAGAATGCTTCTTGGTAGGGCTTTATAATTATCACTTGGGCCAATTGAACCCCTAATCATGTAACATTATTACATCAATTATATCATCACTATTCACTCGTATTATTTTGTAATATTTTTACCTATTTTTTCTTCATCAGATAATTATAAACAATCACATATCACTTTCACACTAATCGTTCATAGACAAAATGAATTCTTTCCGGACAAAGATCATATTAATCGGTTATGGACAACATGAATTCTTTCGGGGCGAAGATCCTACTAATCGCTGAGTGTCCCACACGTTAGCAAGGCGTGGAGAGCAGTGTTCAATTGTTTTTAGCTTTTTGTTGGGTAAGAGAACCAAAAACAACAACAACAAAGTCATCGTATGAATAAGGGGAAAAAGCTTTTGTTGCCGGGTAGAAATAATAATCGCAATTCGCAATGGTGATAGGTGGTGGGGAACTGTTATATTATGATGATTAAAGAATCCCACGCCTTCATATTTCTTCTGCATTTCCACATGTGATTCCTGTCGGATAATCCCCACCCAATTCTCCATCCATTTGGGTTTTTTTTCTCCGTATATATATATATATATTCAAACTTCCTCACTGTCAATTTCTTTGCAGCAAACTCAATATACATATAGACTTATATTTCCTGGGACCATTTCTATTTTGCATTCATCTGACGTCAATTTCAAGTTCCCCGATGACCAAAACCCAGCCAGCATTGCCCTGCTTTTTTTTTTTTTTCCTTTTTTTAATTGCATTCCACCGCTTCCAAAATACTATCTTTGACCAACCAAAAAAGAAAATAAGAAAAAACTTCAAACAGATTCTGCAAGAAGCTGCACCAGATAGGTCCCACTCTGTATTACAGAACAGAGGATTGTACATTGCGAATTACAGGTTTAAAAATTACCAATATTTGGTAATTGATAGTGGTTTTAACTTTTAAGCTCTCTGTTTGGAAGGTTTTTTTATGGTTTTTTCAAAATAATTAAATAATAACTGTCTCATCTTAACATAACTTTTTACATTTTTAACATATTTTTTTACATTTTTAATACGAAAAACATCTAAAAACACACACTAAAAAACGATCCAAACATAATCTTCATTTTTCAGGTGACATTGCAAATTTGTATCCTTAATCAAGCTGGCTGCCATCCGTCAAAGTTACTCATTCTTATACTTGTCCTTTTTAATTATGCAATTTTCACTGCATTGAGGTTAGTGCAATCAGCAGGAACCAACGGTCAAGATCAAATCTTTACGAACTTTCACGCCATTCCCATCCCTGTCAAACAACACAGACACACACACACACACTGACCACACTTCAGTTTCATTCAATAGTGAGTTCCTTCACTGCATGCTTTTTTTAAGTAAAGTCCAGTCTCTATATATATACATACATATTCCTTTAAACCTCTTCATTTCTCACTCACTTTCACACTAATCATACCCACCCAAACACTTCATTAAATGGAGGAACGGCCGGAGACTGAACTGATTTCGATTCCGGCCACCCCACGAGCTTCCACGCCGGAAATATTAACCCCTTCTGGCCAGAGGTCTCCCAGAGGGCTGACTTCCACAGGCCCAGCTTCAAAGGAGGCAAAATCATGGACCCCAACTTCATTTATATCTCCCAGATTCTTGAGCCCAATTGGGACGCCTATGAAAAGGGTGTTGGTAAATATGAAAGGCTACTTGGAAGAAGTGGGACACTTGACTAAGCTCAATCCACAGGATGCTTGGCTTCCTATCACTGAATCTCGAAATGGGAATGCCCATTATGCCGCTTTTCATAACCTCAACGCTGGTTTTGGGTTCCAAGCTTTGGTCTTGCCAGTTGCATTTTCCTTTCTTGGATGGTATGCTTTTTTTTAACTTATTAGTACCATCGTTATTGCTTCTGGCATATTCATTTTAATATGTTGTACTGCTGCTTTAACTTCCATCAGCGTGATTCACGGTTATTTTGATGTTTGAGATGTTTTCTTAAGTGTTTTTCCCCTGTTTTTAGGAATCCGAAGGTTAAAAATCTTGTCTTGATTGTTAAAGTTGGCTTCTTTGCATAGTCTCCTAGTTGATCAAGTCCCTCGAACTCAGTTGGAGAGAGTATGGTCCTTTTTTTGTTCTGGATTTCTATCTTTTCGTCAATAGGCATATCCTTGAATCTTCAGTATGATTAAGTTACCGTTTTAGGAACATTTACCGGACACAGTTTTGGAAAATTAATATGCAGGGTGGAAATCTTTTAGCTTTTACTAATAATCTGTATTTGTTATCCAGATTTCCATTGAGTATCCAATGTTTGCAGTGTTCTTGGTTTCTTGTCCTTTCACATTCCAGTATTCTCTGTTTCCTGCTGTTGACATCCTCAGACAGGTGTTTTTATCACACTTTTCTTTGTGTTTTTTGCCAGGATATTAATCTTCCTTGTTCCTTTTATTCATCGGTTAAACGAATTTAAGGTGCTACTGTGCTATATCTTTCTTTCTTTATACTTTTGTGTCTTGCAATTTGATTTGAGCGTGAGTATCTTATGGGCTAGTGGGTCTATCAGATGATCAACCCTTTTTCTTCTTTTGGTTTCGTTGGTTGCTTTTTCCAAAGTTCATCATTTTGATTCGATTTGAATGCAACCAAAAGAGAGATCCTTGGGGGCAAGTCCTTTCATTCTTTAAATCGTCTTTCACTTTTGATTTTCCAATAGAAGATGCTGCCTAGTATGACTCTGGCCCCTTGCATAATTCTGTTTTGACCTTTTCAGAATTAATGACAGTTGGAAATGCTTTTGCAGTACTTGAGTTTTTTTCTGATTTTGTGTACTCCAGCCTCGTGGTGCTTTATCTGGCTATTGCACCTTTTTGAAATTTGTATAGGTACTTTCCATATAAAATTCATTTTCCAACAAAAAGTCTATACACACAGTATTATGTCTGTTAATCATAGTGGTTAACTTTGTCTAATCTCATCAATGATTTATTCGAGCTGGTTACACACTGAGATATGGTGGTTTAGTGAGATTTGGTTGAAGTCTAAACGTTATCAGGCAATGATTTATCAACAACTTCTAGGATAGACTTTCCAATTCAATTCGACCTTTGAAGGATGAACCTCACGGTATTATTGTTTTCACAACATTCTGCACAGCACATTTCACCGCCTACTTCTTTCGTTGTCTATTTGAATGATATTAAGTAGTCTGCTTAAAAAAGCCTTTGGCTCTTTGGGGAAAATTTTTTGCATTGACCAAAAAAGTAAATAAGCTAATAATAAATCATCTCATGTTGTTTCCTCTGCTTTGGAATATTTGTTGGGCATCCATATATTGCTTAATAATCTTCTGGGTTTAGATATTCATTTTTCTCTTATACAGTACATCAGTGACGATATTTTTTTTTTTTTTTTTTTTGAAGTAGACAGTGACAATAGTTAATAAGGTAGAAAATGGAAAGAATTTTGCTTAAATAATCAGAGAATCTCATGCATGTTCTAAAAGGGGATTAAAGGAAAGATTGCAATGTTACTATTGAAGGACAGTTTTCTTGTTCCAGAGTTTAGTTGGATAATTTTGTCCAGTCGCTAATATTTTTAACTTCTTGCAACTCTCTGCAGGGGCTGGGGCATTGTTTCCTTGACAATTGCATTCTTCTGGCAGCTTTATACTTTGTGGATTCTTGTCCAGCTGCACGAAGCAGTTCCTGGAAAAAGATACAACAGATACGTGGAACTCGCGCAAGCAGCATTTGGTGAGATTGCTCATGACTAATGAAAAGATGGCATTCAAACATTTAGTGGTTTCTTTTAGTTCAGCATAGAAGTGCATTTATCTGTGGAGCATTCGTTCTCCAGAATTGCTATTGTTCTTCGGATTGCATATTCAAGAAAATTGAAGTTTTAGTCAAAACCGATGCTTAACTGTAATTTTAGACTCATGCTTCTGAACAGTTTCCTCTAGTCATATCCAGCAATGTCGTAAAACTAAGTCAACTTTCTTACTAGTTGCAAAGTTTTGCATGCACCAGTCATTTCTTTAATTCAATGTTCTATACTGAGAAAACATTTTACTGCTTGAAATTTCAGGGGAAAGATTAGGCGTCTGGTTGGCTCTCTTCCCCACTGTCTATTTATCAGCTGGGACTGCAACAGCTTTGATACTTATTGGAGGGGAGACCATGAAGCTGTTTTTCCAAATTGTCTGCGGCCCCCTTTGTACCTCAAATCCTCTGACAACTGTTGAGTGGTATTTGGTGTTCACATCCCTGTGCATTGTGCTCTCTCAGCTCCCAAACCTTAACTCAATTGCTGGATTATCACTGGTAGGAGCAGTTACAGCAATTATATACTCCACCATGGCTTGGGTACTCTCAGTCAGCCGGCCGAGGCCACCCCACATCTCTTATCAGCCCATGCCGCTACCTTCATTTTCAGCTTCTCTCTTTTCTTTCCTAAATGCTCTTGGTATCATAGCATTTGCATTTAGAGGCCACAACTTGGCACTAGAAATTCAGGTATCCTGCATTTTCTGGTTTTCAGACAATGTGCAAACTTCAAGCTCTTTCTTATTTACAAATTGTTGTATTTGTGCATTTGATATAAATTTCGGTGTATCTTTGTAGGCAACCATGCCATCAACCTTTAAGCATCCAGCTCATGTACCAATGTGGAAGGGAGCCAAGGTTGCCTATATATTTATTGCAATGTGCTTATTCCCGGTTGCCATAGGAGGATTCTGGGCATATGGAAACCTTGTAAGCTTTCTTGCTTTCCACTTTCGTTATGTTTGTACTAAGAGGCGAGATTATGATCAAATTCTTCAAGTGTTTAGACAGGTTAATATGTTGATACTAAACCAAAACTTATATCAGGAATAACCAAATAGGTCACGACTCTAGTGTACACTTGCCAACAGCATCATCTAACTGTAAAACTTTACTCTTTTTGCAGATGCCGTCAGGAGGAATGCTCAATGCTTTGTTTGCATTTCACAGTCATGACATTTCAAGAGGACTTCTAGCCATGACGTTTCTCCTTGTAGTATTCAACTGCTTGAGCAGTTTCCAGATATACTCGATGCCTGCTTTTGACAGTTTCGAAGCTGGCTATACCAGCCGTACAAACCGTCCATGCTCGATATGGGTCCGTTCTGGTTTCCGAGTATTTTATGGATTCGTCTCGTTCTTCATAGGAGTGGCTCTTCCATTCTTGTCAAGCCTAGCCGGTTTGCTGGGAGGACTCACTTTACCAGTCACATTCGCTTATCCTTGCTTCATGTGGGTTCTTATTAAAAAGCCCTCAAAATACAGCTTCAGTTGGTATTTCAACTGGATTTTGGGGTGGTTGGGTGTTGCATTCAGTCTGGCATTTAGCATCGGAGGCATTTGGAGTATAGTGAACAGTGGCTTGAAGTTGAAATTCTTTAAGCCTCCCAGCTGAGCAACAATATAGTATGTTTTTGTAGACTGGACCAGGAGAGTTTATCTCTACTTTTATTCCGTTTGTTTTCTTTTCCACTTTTTCCTCATTGTGAAATATCTTATTTTGTTTTTTGGTCAGCTCCGTTGTAAGTTCACAACATATATAATATTATCTATGCAATCGGAAAGGGATGTATAAAATGTAAAAGTTGTTTAAATTTGATCATCTCATAAAGAATGCAAGTTTCAAGTGTTTGTACAGAACATCTGATAAATATGTTATCTCAGCCCAGTTCCAGATTGTTCATGGATCTCTATATGGAGAATTTCTATGCCGAGAAATGGGCTCTAAAATCATATGGTAAATCTGACTGGAGGTCCAGATATGGAATTTTTGTAGAAATTTATTATTTATTCACCAAATCGAATCGTAAACAATAATACTTCAATTGTTGAGAGAGTTAACCTTTCCCAAAGGCGCTCAAACGGGGATTACCGGCCGGAATAGTCTGAGCGCGGTTATCTCATCGTTGATATAAAAAGGAAAAAATTGTTACTACTACCAAATTGGGCCATTAAGACAACAACTAAAACTTCCAAGTTTCAGACACACATTTAGGGAAGTGGTAAAAATAGAAATGTCGACAAAGACAACTCCCAATGCGGAAAACGAAGGCGGCAATGCATTTAAACAGTATTGTCTCCTGCGTATCTTTCTTCTTCCAGCTGGTAATCGTATTGTAACTAACAGATGCTCAGATTCAAATGTGCTTACATGAAACACCCATTAATTCCCTGTTTGGGGTTCAAAGTCTAACCCTTCCTCTAATAATACACTCCAAGACAACACTTCAAAGTTCTAGCATGAATACTCCCTCCATTTCAAAATGTAAGTCTATTTAGACTTTGCACGTAAACTAAAGAGACAATTATTTAATAATTAATTTGTATGTTAAATATCTGTTTTACTTCTCATTAAATACATTGAAACTATAAACAAGACTAAATGAAAATAAATTAGCATAATTTATTGAGGATAAAGTTGGAAAAATAGTAAATAATTTACCTAAAATTTATAAAACAATTTACATTTTAAAAAATCTCTCCAAACCTAAAACGACCTACAAATTGAAATGGAGGGAGTAATAAACAACACACACGCTCCACCCAAACATTTAGACCTGCTTACCGCCATTTATTGAATTAAAACAATACAACAAAATGACTCATTCGTGAGCACGAATAACTAGTGTTTTATATGTATATAGAAGGATGAGTCAATCCAAGAAACAGTATAAAGAAATTGGATGGAATGAAATGATGAGGAAAAAGGACAAATTTGCAGAATCATCGCCATCACTAAATAGATGAGGGGGGGAAGGAATCATCATGCAAAATAGTGAACATGCGGGTAATCCTCCCGTTCCGTTTACCATGTTTCCACCAAATGGGGCCTCAAAGTCGGTGGCTTGTCAATTCTTTTATTCTACTACTATCATTCTACTTGACTGTATGCTCTTTTTTTTCAAAAATAAAAAATAAAAAATAAAAAAAATCCAACAAAGTGATATATATTCAAAACTCTCTTTGCTCTAAATTATTGTTTAGTTTGATTTTTTTTATTTTTAATTTAATCTGTATTAAAAATAAAAATATAAATTAAACAATAATTTTGAAGGATGAATTGTCTTTTTTGCTTGAAACTATATATCTATCTATATCTCCTGTTTGTGGAAGACAAAGACGCAGCCACAGCGAATATGATCAATCTCGACAGCTTCATTACCCATCCAACACAGTTTTTTCTTTTCCATCATCTCGCCCGAGGATTCAATTGCATCATTTTGGAGCTTTGAGGAGGTCAGGTCATCTGGCATTGGTCAAATCCAAAACAAAATTATTCTTCTGTTTCGGGAACCACTTGGACACATATTACTAGGATTACCACTTTTCTTATTAGACTACCTAGCTTCCATAGTCTCAACCTAATTGGCAAAACCTATTTTGCCTCTATCCCCCCAATCTTCTAACGACTTTAATCAATCCAACACCTTAATTAATCAACTCATTAAACGAGAATTTCATACCAATCGCATCGTGTCTTAAAAATGACGGTCTTTATTGTATGACGATATATTATGTCTTGAAATATGAATCATTATTGGAATGTAATGTAAAACGAAAGATCACAAAAAAACCAAAAAAAAATTAAAAGAAATAATGTTATTGGTGCGTTCCGAAAATGTTGAAGCACAATAGAAGAACATTGGATTGGTGGGTAATTGAATGTTTGAATAGTGAAAGGTGCCCACTGCCCACCACCAAGAAGACAAACCATTGCATGCCTTTTGCCTGCGGCCCCCTATATTGATTTTATTATAAACTCTAATGTCATCATGAATCCAACAAATGTTACAAACATAATCTTAATTAAAGCATTCCAAGGAAGGTTCTTCTCTGCTTTGTGGATCCCTATAAAGTCCCAGTCCAAGGTTCAAAACCCCAACTTTTGTAACAGCATTTTACTATTGCAAGGGTGATAAAATACTTTGGGACAGCATTTTTAATTTTTCAAGTAACGTTCGAAATCCTAGCTATTAGAAATGGATATACCAATGCCCGTCAGACCTGACCAAGGTTATGATTCGAACCAGAACCAAATTGGAACTGAACCGTGGGTTTTGATTTTAAACCGTAACTGTAATTTATGGTTCAAAAATTGTAACCGTAATCATAATTTTTTGGTTCGATAAGAATCAGAACCGTAATCGGTGATTCGGTTTCAGTTAAAACCGTAAAAAAATAATTATACTTAATTATTAAAAAACTAAAAATTATTTCTATTTCATTTTTTACTATGTGACTTCTATTAAACTTAGCATGATTAATAAAAAAGTTAAATTAATCATTTATCAGTCTTTATCAAGTTGAAATAATTGTCATTCATCACAAAAAAAAACTTTTAAATAAGAAATAAAGCTAATAAAATACAACAAATATCAAAATTATAATTAGAATCGAATCAAAACCATAACCGAAGTTGAAATCATAACCAAAGTCATAACCGAAACCGAAACCATCTCAAACCGTAACCGTTTTAAACTATCTCTTACTTAATTCGGTTATGATTCCATCAATCTTGGAACTACGAACCGACGGTTTTAGAACTGTGACCGATGGTTCTAGAATTGTGGTCAGGGCATCTCTAATAACTTGCAAGTCACACTGATGAGTGAGAGGTGTGAAATCGAAAGTTCATGTATAGATCTACCATAATAAGCCCGGTAAAAGTGCTGATGAATAAGATTAAAATCAACTATCACTTTGATTAGAGTGAGCTCTGCTTTAAGAGTAAGAGTGGTATTGATATGCAAGAACCAAATCAAAAGAACACCCAATGGAATTGGTTCACTTATAAATTTGATTGACACTATCCAATTGTCAACTGGAAAAAGGCGAAGAGAGTATAAAAGAACACAATTTCAAATCCATTTACATGAAACCCTAGTGTTTGTCAATTACACGAGAAAAAAGGCAAGCATAAAACATGCAAATATACTGCTTGCCAAACGCCAAAACCAGCCGAAAAAAAGCTCTCATCCCCATTTTTCCCCATCAATCTTTTCAGAAATATCGAAGCATTTACGTACTAAGTAGAGTAGTGGATTAATTAATAGTACTAACAGTTCTAATATCATCAAGTCTACTATTCTAACCATACCTAAAGCACTCTAGAGATAGAGAACCAACCCCATTCAATCTTGACCGAACCAAAAACCCAAAAAAGCCTATCATCTTGTTCTTTTGTCCATTGATTCTCTTCTTACTTTCTTTCTCGGGAGACTAAAAAAGTAATTTTTCCAAACTGATCATATTTTCAGATACTTCATCATTTCAGACCTTTGCCTGGCATTGATATAGCAAGATCCGGCCACCCAAAACAATCTCCATCGCCGCCTCCTAAGCTAGCTTCAACTCCGACGCCCAGCTGCCACGTGTTACACCCTCCCGATGATGATCCCCCGGAAGCTCCTGAACCGTTACCGTCACCGTCGTTTCCACCGCCGCCACCGCTACTTCCTCCCAGCTCGGTGTTACTATTGCCACTCCCGTGATGATGATGATGGCCCAGTGCAATTGGTTCCATGGGCCAATCCAGCTGACCCATCCCGAATCCAAGCCCGTGGATACCCGATCCGAGCCCAAGCCCGAACCCGTTTCCAAACGGCAGCAAACCGCCGCTAACATGAGTTGTCAGCAGAGAACCATAATTTGCAGCTTCTGGGACGGCTTCATTCAAGTTCACATCGCAACCCATTAAAGAACCCGCCAAGGGAACCGACCCGGAACCCATTTGAGACATCATGGGCTGGTTTCCATGCAAAGGCTCATGGTGAGCTATATTTTCCGACGAAGACGACGGTACAGAGGAAGCCGGCGCCGCCGGTGCCGTCGATGTAATGGGGCTCATACCGGCAGCAGTAGTTGTACGTGGACGCTTGTGGGAAGAAGAGACGGAGCTCTTCCGTGAGCCGCCGCCGACGGGGACGTTGCGGAGGGTACCGCCGCGAGTCCAGTACCGGCGGCAAGACTTGCAGAAATGGCGGGGCTGAGAGAGGTTGTAGTTGTTGTAGTAACAGAACTTGGTGTTTGTGGAATCGCAGCGCGGGCAAGGGAGGTGCTCCGGTTCTGTGGGTCGGATCGCCATGGTGGATAGCCTCACCGGACCGGGACGTTGTTGCTGCTGATCACTACTTTCCGATGACATTTTCTTCTTCCTTTTTTTTTTTTTTTTGCTTGTTAGTTTCTTTTTTCTTTTCCCTTGTGGGGTTTGTCGTTTTGTTAAGGTGGAATATTTGGATTTTGGTTTAGGGCAGGTACAAGGAATATGGTTCTTTCTGATCAGGTTTCTATGAGATTAGGAAATGGACAAAAAGTTATAGTAGTATTTGAAGAAGCTGAAGAAAGAGAGAGAAATGGTCCGAATGGAGGATATAGTGAAGTTTGAGAGTGTGTAAAAAGGACTTGTAAGAAGGAGGGAGAAGTCAATTTTATATTGGAAGTCTCCCTGAATTATTTACTACTTAAATTAATTCTACTCCTTTAGTAGGCATTCAATTTCTTTTCTGTTTTTTTGTTTTTTTTTTTTCAATGGCAGGCCACGTTTTTTAGTTTATGTTTTCCTTTGAAAGTTCGTTAATTAAGAATCATGGTGACTTTGTACTCAGAAAACATTGTAGTACAAGTTGATGACACAAGTGGAGGGTATTAGTATAGATTCTCCTTCAATCTGCATTTAAAAAATAAAAAAAAATCAAATAGACTGAAAATGGTGTATTAAATTTTCTTTCGGAACGAAAAAGAAGATACACATGGACATGGACATGCTTTTGTGAGCTTTTTCACATGTCTTGCCTATATATGTATATGTATGTGTGATAGATTGAGTTAGCAGCATGACCGGACAAGAGTTCACTTGGTTCTGATGGTAGATAACAAAACGTGATGGAGATGGTGGTTTTAATTTCTTAGTGGACTAGTCGACTAAAAGAAACCGAAGTAGCTAAGGTAATGAAACTTGACTATCAAGAAAGAAGTATCTTTCATTTGTAGTGGTAGAACCAGCAAAACTACAAAAAAAAGAAGATTGTAAAGCAGAAAGCACCAGAGGATGAGCTAAAAGTTATGTTCCTCAAATTATACATTCAAATGTATATGTTCCTCAACTTCCATTATAGAAAAAGGTTTGTTGCATGTAATCACTTTTCAAACAGTTCAGGACCAAGTGTAAATAACATTTTTTTTGTTGCTAAAAAAAATAAAATAAATTATTATACTGTTTTAATTAAACAGCAATTAATGAAACTAGGGGTGATTCGTTAGGCATACCAATTTTTATAGGTATACTTCCTCGCTTTCAATTTGTAGGTCGTTTTAAGTTTACAAAGATTTTTCAAAATATAAAGTCTTTTTATAAATTTCAGGCAAATTAATGACTATTTTTCTAATTTCACTCTCAATAAATGATGTCAATATATTTTTATTTAGTATTATTTATAATTTCAATGCAATTAATATAGAGTACAACATATATTGAACACATAAATTAATTGTTGGATAATTGTTACCATATAAACAGTATAACTATGGGTGTTGTACAAATGATGATTCATTAAGGTTAGGACAAGGAAGCAACCGAATCTAAAAGCAATCGAATTTATTCCTTGGTTGAGCTGACCGGCCGATGGCTTGACGAGGCATACTAGGTTTGGATTTAATGAGGGGTCTAATCTCTGTACTCTATAAGGTGGTGTGAGTCCAAAATTGACGGATTGGGGGAAATGATGACACCTCTAATCCTAAAAACAACATAATTGAGTACTGCAAATTTGACAATTGACAACTTCAATTTTTGAAAATGCGGTGTCTTTGTTCCCTTTTCACCATGTTGGTGCTATAATTGGTCAGAACAAATTACTTGTTGTAGTGTAACGTGGGACAAATCGATAATCTTTGAATTTTCATGGCTCCTAATTTGTGTTGTCTTCTGAATGTAAAAAGTAATTTGAACAAAAATCAGGCTAAAGGATTGTCAGTTGTCACTGATAATATTAACCTGTTTCGGTGTATTGAGTATTCTGTGCTTTTAAATTATTACTTTAAAAATTATGTTATTACTTTAAAAATAATATAATAATTGTCACATCCTAATATATATTTTTACAATCATCATTATTGTTTTACGATTTATTATATTGATTTAATTTAATAAAGTAAATTGTAACGTGATTTTCTTAAAATAGGTAATAAGTGCACTAATGTATGCTTTGATACATGCGAACGAAAGACCGGAGAGAGAGAGCAGAGAATTTTTTTATTCCCAAAAAAAGAAACCGTTTATATCCTACTAATTAGAAATAAAAACTACCCTTTCAAACACCTCTTATGATTGCCACGTGATATGAGAAAAGTACTAAATTATCGTTTTGTTTATCCATAACTAAATTATTAAATCCTCATTTACACTTTACGTGACACGTTTTTTTAAAAAAAAAAATTTTTTATGTTTCGTTCAATTAGAGTGGTTTTCTTTTCTTAATTATGGAGTCTAAATTGAATTGATCAATTAGATTTTTGTTACAAAGTGTCAATTTTGTTTTAAACGTATACCCTTCGGATGAAACTTGTTACAAAACTATTAAAAATTTCCAAAATTAAGTATTGATTTGACACGACCAATGGAGGACATCAATAAATCATCTTACTAATATTTAAACTTATTAGGATACTTTATATTTTGTCTAAAATTTACTTCAACACATATATTCGATTAAGTCTATTTATATTTAATAAATAACACTTATAAAACATTTCTAAAACATACATGGCGAAATACAATTTCTTTTTTTTTTTTAAATACAAATACTTCTATGATCACACTTATAAAATATTTCTAAATTCTTCAAACATTTCTAAAATATGTCGCTCCAAATATAATTTTTTTTTTTTAAATATAAACATCTCTAAAATCTACAGATAAACTAAGCTAGAGTCGCGTATTGCGCGACCAGACATCACTTATAAAACAGAAAAAAGAAAAAATATTTGCAGATTAGTGTTCTCCGACTCATGGGTTCGCCTCAAAACCCACGAAGGGATGTTCCTATCAAGATAAATACCACCAAACACAAATACATATCCTTACCTATTACAACCATAACCATTTGATAGAAACAAAACCCTCATGAATGAGTCTCAAAACTCGCGAGGACATAACTTTATTTCATAAAAAACAAACACAACCCACTACATCACAATTATGTCAAATGACATAAGGTGTTTACGTGGTTACTCACGAGAGAGCAGAGAATCAAGTACGGCATTTGGTTACAGTTGGGAGCTGATGCCTGAACTCTGCTTCTTTCTCCAGACCTGAGAATTGATAACCCTTGATAAAGGGAAGGAAAAAAAAAGTATAGAAGAATGAAAATTAATAGGGGAGGATTAGACAGCCGACAGTATGATTGCTGTCGGAGAGCGTGGGTAGCAATTATTGGGTCACACTCTTCCAGTCTTTCCTCAAGTCCCCACCCCTCCTCTAAACCCAAACCCAACTCCCCCCGGGTCAATCATCATCATTCATCACTCCTTCTCCTTCTTCTTCTTCTTCTTCTTCTTCTTCTATTCCCACCCCATCATTCGATTATCGAAAATTTTACATCCGAATCGAACTAAACTCATGCTCTTCTAAAAAAAAAAAAAAAAAAACTAAAACTCATGCTCTTCCATCTGATCCCTGGTCTGGTCTGATTATTACTTTGCTGCCGGATTTTTCGGCCTCCGGGATACTACTGGACCTTTTCGCTACTCGCTTGTTGCATGCAAATGGTATATAGTTGTACGTAAATTCACTCGTTCTAGTTTACCGTTTTGTACTACTAGTCCCAAGAAATTATTCAACACAATTTAAATATTCAATGTGGACTTTCTTTAATTATTGAAGATTATTTTATATTTAGGACCGAAGGAAGTAACACTCATCATTAAATACGTCTAATTAATATTTTGTTCCGAAAAAATAGTTTACGTTGAAATTTGAAATTGCATTTTAAGGTTTGTACCAAAAATGATTCTCTCTATCTCAAAATGATAGTGAGTTTGGATTTTTTTTCTTCTTCAAATTGTAACAAAATGAAAAATCCAAACAAGATAATCATTTTATGATAGATGGAAGAATATAAATTTTCAAAATTTAATAGGAACTATTTTCTTAAAAATAGAAAGAATAATTTTAAATATTTTTTTTTCTTTTATGAAAAATCATCCTTAAACTTTCATCATCATTGACTACTTTTTTTTCTTTCCCCTCTCTATTTTTTCCTTTTCCCTCTCTATTCATATGTGCAACAACATACGGCTATGTTTATTTTCATTGTTATTGGACCGTTCACACGAAAGCGGATGGCAGCAGCTAGTGTTGCGAAAATTGGGAAATCAGAAACCGAAAATCGGCGGTAATCATCAGAGCAGCAGTTAAATCAGGCAAGGGAGAGAGTGGAGACAGGGAGGCAGCATTCTGCAGAGCCGTGACTTGGGCTGCTCTTTGAAGCTTAAACATGCATCTTTTCACATTATTCGTCATTTGCTAGCTTTACGGAGATTTGACGAGGCATGCGCTGGATCACCAATTTGAAATTTTATTCTTATCGTAACACGATAATCATTTTAAAACAGGGAATAGATTTCATTGGGTAGAATAATGGATACAAAATTCTGACTAAATCGTGTAATAGTAACAATTTTTTCTCGGTGGTGGTTATCTAAGTAGAAAAGAGAGATGCTAGATGTAATCCCTTATTTATATATATATATATATATATATTTATTTACTCTATTAAAGCAGAAGACATGAAACTTATGTGGCAACTAAATATGCATCTGTTTTGGCTCCAATGCACCATATTTCAGATTTCAGGAGTCTTTTTGCCACGTGTAAGTCTCTTTTAATTAGAAGTTATATAATTTTTTTTTTTAAAAAAGCACATGTTTTACTACAAATAAGGATCAGTTACATTTCAAACGAATGGATATATTAATTCAAATTCAAATGTCCAATCGTATAGTTTTGCAGGCTTAATATAAATAAAAAATAAAAATATCTAAATCCAGCAATTAAGAATAATGCCTTATAAACTAATTATTTATTATTCCTTTATAACCTCAGATTTATAAGTATATTTTTTAAGCCCCAAATCATAGCATAAATGATATATACGCCAAATTAATTCCTCAAAAAATAGTAATTCAATTAGATTTTAATAAAATAATAATTTAGAAGGGACGACCGGGCATCTGCCTGGGCCAAACATCTATATATTGTTATTATAGTACTAATATATAGTACTATTATACTTTAAAAACAAAAATTCTAGTCCGGTCATCGATGGCCTTTAAAGTCTTAAGTAGTACTACTACTAACATAAAAACTGACTCAACTCTCATCAGTCACTGTTGCTGGACGTCCAAAATGGTACGTCGTCTTCATCCCCAGTGTTTCTCAATCTATCAGATTCTCTGTTTGCCTGTTGTCGCTGTTCTTCACTTCCTCTGTGTTGTGTCATTTTCAACCCAAAATATCCACATTTGTCTTCTTTTCTTTTTCCTCCAACTTTTCATACCCATCCAGATTCCTCCAAATTTTGTTGATGAAATTCTTTGTTACCCGGAAGAACATCCAGTTTCTAGTTTTCGTTTATTGTGGTTACATTTTGTTTGACCTTTTGCGGTAAATATCGTAAACATTATTTCTTTCATCAGGATCTATATGAGGAACATTTTATCGATGATGCTGATTTCAATTTGGACTCTTAATATGAAGGGCTGGCATTTGGAATATCTAACTTCATAATTCCTTCTAATTGTCTTTCACTTGTGGTCAATTATTTCCCAGCTACCATCAGCATTTGGTACAGGTTACGAGTCAAAATGCCTAAAATTTAATGACAATGCCTCAACCATTATTTCCTTAATTAATTGCTCAACACCGATTACATAAAACATAAACCAAATAATTTATGCAAAATCCGCCTTCAAATAATTGTGTCTTACTTCCAAGCTCCATTGTCACAAAAGATAAATTCTTTGCGATAGCACTTGTTCGAAGTAATTATATCATCATTTACACAGATGAGCTTCACCCTTTGTTTTGGTTGCATACGGAAATGTCAAATTTTTTTACTGAAATATAGAATTTCAATGAGTAAAAATGTAAAATAACTTGACAAAATAATGGGATTTCAACGATGTAACATTTACATTTCCGTGCAAAATAATCACATAGTTAAAATTTTGGGGTTGAAATTTTGGGCCACTGAGGCAGTAAGCGGGAATTCTTTGAGACCAAGGAGCCGAACCCATTAGTCTATGAGGGGTTTATGGGCTGGAGACTGAAGAATCAAAGTATCAGCTTCGGTTGCATTATATTTAGACAGGCCTTCCAAATTTCATCAGCTACCATTTGCGCTGTGGATGAAGTTTCTTCTCAAGTACAAAAATCTTAACAGAAAACATTGATCCTTCAAGTCCATTCCAAGTACTATAAAGCCCTGCCATAACTCAAATATTTAGAGGTAACACAGATACATTGTCTTTCTACGTGCATTATGCAACTGCTTAGTGTCATGTACCTCGTGTCTCATGCCATTTTCTATGAGCTTAATGTCAGTGACACAATTCAGGCCTGGGTGATGCAAAAGTTGTCTATGGTTCAGGTTCCTTATCATAGTAATAATGCGAATATAAAGAAGTATTTTCTCGATAGTTCTGCCCTTCTTGTAAGAAAGAGCAATAGCACACACGACACTACTATGACACATGTAATCACTAATTCTAACAAGAAGCAACTCCTGAGGTATAGTTGGCGTATATCCTTTTGCGAATCAAGTTCTTGGCTTAATGATTGCCCGTAGAGGACGAAGCTTCTGGTTTGTCAGCCCTATGGTATCAACATTGTCTTTTTCTCCTTCTGCTAATCCCCATTCAAACTCCTGCACTAACCTAGCAATCGAGACACATGAGATTAACATAGCCTGGAGAGCACCTGCACACACCCTCTTCCCCCCTCCAAAGGCTGCTGTTTTGTGCAATTCCATATGATCAGATTGTCCGTCAAGGAATCTCTCAGGCTTCCATTCGTTAGGGTTCTCCCAAACACTTTTGTCCATGTTGCATCCATAAAGGTTTAGAGCAATCTAGAACAGGTACATAAAATAGAAAAGTACATGACCTAGGTATGAGATCCCTAGCAAAAGAAGGAAAAAAAAAAAGAAATAGATCCTGGGGAATTAATACCTCGGTTCCAGCAGGAATGTGATATCCACCTAATTCAGTGTCTTCGTGCACATATCTTAGAGGAACTACAGGCACTGGACTGTGATATCTTAAAGTTTCATGGAATATAGCAGCCAAATATGGAAGTTGACACAGATTCTCTTCAGTAATCTTGTTTACTCCACAAACGTTTTGAATGTCACGATACAGACGCTCCTGAGGGATTATGGTAAAGTCAGATAACTGAAAACAAGAGGAGAATGATTGGTGGAATCACAGAGATATTACCTGTTTCTCTGGATTTTTAGCAAGTTCATACATAGCCCATTCTGTTACAACCAAAGTAGTATCTGATGATTCAATAATAGTTTCCCATGATAACATCAGTATTTGTCTCTCTGTAAATTCCTTTCCTTCAGTCAGTAAGAAGTCGAGATAACACTTCAGTTCCTGCAAGAATACCAGATTAATTTGTATCCCTATGACAGTTACGACAACGCTTTAAGAGGAGTTTTCCACTCTAAACTCGTTATTAATTCAGCGAGTAAGAGTACCTGTCCTGGTTCAAAATGCTTTTTGTGATCCTCAATAAGAGCCTTCATGGCTACAGTCCGCCGTTTATCCATCAGCTGGATTCTATTCTCAAAGCTTTTATTTGGAATCCATCTTAAATATGGGAAGAAATCCCTCCAGTCCACCTCAAGTGCACCCTCCATTTGATCATGCACTAAGATCTTAAGTAGCTCCTCCCTTGAAACTGTGGTTCCTAGTTCCTCCACATAAATTGACTCCACATCTTTCCCAAGAGTCTGCAAGTCAAGTGTTATGTGCAATTTTAGATACTCTATCACCAATAGATAGTGGAAATATGGACCTCCCTTTGCCATTAATAAACAGGAACTCACCTCTTTTAGTGAGAGGCTGAAAAGTTCTGAGAGGAATATATCCCTGAAATTTACAGGTTCAAGAGACGTCTGACAAGAACTGTGAAATTCTTTGCAGATATTCTCCACAAGTAAGTCTCTATGCACACGATGTCGTTTCTGAAACAAATTAAGTATGTATCAGACTCTAGTGCAACAGCAAAGCACTATTTGTGCAATAAATCATTGAATGGAAGACATTTAATTGGCAATGCAAGCCTTTACGGCACACAAACCTGTGCATTAGTTCCCAAAGTACTTGTGAGCAAAATTTTCTTTGCTACCTTGTAGAACTCATCATAGTCACTCATGGCAACTATACTTTTACCCGAAGTGAGGATTTTCAACGCATTTGAGAGCTTCCGAGTTGAGATGGATGAGTATCTGGTCACAGTAGCCTAAAACAACCAAGAGAGGTTAAATTTTAAACAAAAACCTGCTAAAACCAAATGGAAGAATACACATAATTATTATATAACTAGTTGATGATAAACTTAATATGTCACTTCATATGGCAGCTATATTACAGCTTCCTATGGAGAATGCTTTGGTTCTTAAATTGATAACGAACCACTAGAGTTTGAAAGAACTCTGCAAAATGTATTTTAAGGACATTTTTAAATTCATTAGAATTTAGAAGTAAAGACTGGGGCGTAAAGGAAAATTGAACCACATTAGCGTAAGGCAAAAATTCGGGAGCTCAGAGTTCAGAGCTATGCGGCATCAGAAGAGGGAAAATGATGAATCAAATTCTAAAAGAGAACATTGCTATTTATTCAAAAAAGATACCAGACAGCAGGATCTTTTCTATATGACAAGTAACCTGTAAGCTATACAACATGAATCTTAAGCACATCAAAGTGACTCCAATTTTATCATCTGATTAACCCGAACCTAGAAATATCTTGCAAGCAGATTTGACCTTATATCAAAAGCCTTAATGGAAACAATTAAGACATCACTTCCTACAATGGAAGATCTTGACCCTCTGCCATGCCATGCACATTACTGCATACATACATCACTCTCCCTCAGGGATCAGTCTGAGTTATATGAAGAACTAGAATCATAAGCATTCGAATATCTTAAATTTCAGTTCATTAAGCTTCCTCTATCTTCCAAATCTTCCTCATTAAAAGAAACAACTACAGAGCTAATAGTCACTGATTAATAGACAGAGACATGCGTACCTCCTTGACAACCTCATTAGAATTAAGGACCACCATTTTGTTGGCACCAGTTTTGATGGAATAAATGGGTCCATAGGTCTCAGCCCATTTAGTAAAAGTCCTGTGGGGCTTCTTCTCTTTCAACTGCAGCAAATTCCCTATCACTGGCAGCCCTGGTACTTCTGCACCAAATGAGCCACCAAGTTGAATTCCTCAGAAATTAAACAATAGATTAAAAAAAAAAGGTCTATCATTCTGAATTCAGCATCCCAAAATTATGGTTGATTAGGATAGAAAAATACCAGGTACTGGAGGAAGGTTGGAAGAAGCTTTCCTCCTCTGATCATCTGCATATGCTTTGATTAACCACAGTGAAAGGCCACCAATAGCAACCGCAGGACCACCCACAGCAACAGCAGAAGGAAGTGCTGGAACATTAAGGATCGCTTCCATCAACGCCATTTTCTCTATTCAGAAAAATCAGAAAAAAAAACTTTGCTTTGTGGGTTTTTTTTTCCTTCTCTGCTAGATATACAGGACAAAGAAAAGATCCTATCTTCTCTTGACCTGGGTTTGATTCAGATGAACGTTATATACCAAAATGATGGGCAATGACTAAGTAATAATCTTGAGTCTTGATTGCTTGTTAATGGAAATTTAAAGAATAAAAATGCGGATTTTTGGAATCTCTTGATGAGGATAGACAGTAATTCTATGTATGGTAAAGTACAAAAAAGGAGTTCCCAAGGGAAAAAAGATTTGAACTTTTCCAGTGGCTCATACTATAATTGAATAATTGATGACCAGATACGTTGGTGAGAAAAAAACGACGACAAATATTTCCAGTCGTCCTATGCAAAACTAAAAGCCATCATCGAATATGCTCTGAAGAAATTTGCTTTAATTAGACTAAAATGGAACCATTTGAGTGATTTTTTTTGGAAATATAAAATTGGATTTTTGGTTGAATGAAGTTCATCTGTCAACCATTAATGATGCTAATTCCTTCCATATTAAAAGAAAAGAAAAACAGTGCCATTCCTTTAATCGGATACGTTGTAATATTACTGTCGTAAGGCTGCTTTTAGAAACTTGGAGAACATGTTTTTTCTTTAACATTTTTTTTTAGACCGCTACTGTCCGAAAAAGCACACGTTCTTCCTGACTAAGGCTCGGGTTTCTTTTTGTTTGGTGGGTGATTGAAGGTAGCGCTTCTCGTTAAATCTGATTGGAATATTGGATGATAATAAGCAGATATAAACTACTGAGGTAAAGACTCGCTTTTTATAACAGAGAAAACTCCCATATTCCGGTTGTAATTAGAGCATATGACCTTGTAACTAAAATAAACCATCGTATATGTTTTAACTTTTATTTCAGTCATTTTAATAATCATCTCATCAAGTAGAGATCTTGAACTGAATTGGACAATTGGTCGGCCGGCCCGCCCTATACAATTAACTATCAAAGTTTAATTGATCATGTAACAATTTGACTTTTAATTAGCCCACATCATTCTTAGATACGAAGGAAAGGAGGACATTTTGGAGTTGATGGAGGGAATCGGCATGACATGCTGACAACGAATCCCACAATATGTTTTGTATTCTATTGTAGAAACAGCGATCAGATGAAATTGGTGAACCAATATGGAATCTATTTTCTATACTATCTTATTTGGGCTAACCTTTTTTTTTGTGAATTAGGCTACAGGACATAAGGTTACCAAATTTTACAGTTTAGAAGCAGAAACTGAAGGATATTTTCTGATGCTGCTTTTTCTGGTTAAGTGGAGCATCCACAGATCAATGCTTTTTCTTATTTATAATTTCTGTAAGTTGCCACTAAAATGACTATGAACTAACAAAAATGAAAACAAGAAAATAAAATGGTGTTAACTTTAATTTAAAAAGAAAAAAACTAGCCCACTACTTTTTTAAATAATTAATTAATATCCTTGGAAGATTGGTGGTGGAGGTGATGCATAGATCGCTCCCAACGTTGGTGGAAGTATTACATCCTCAAATGTTGGAGGTGGTGGTGGTGACGAAACTGGTGCTGGTGGAGGTGGTGGAGATTGAACCGGCGGTGGCGGAGATTGGACCGGCGGCGGTGGTGGTGGAGAAAAGACTGGTGGTGGCGGAGAGTGAACTGGTGGCGGCGGAGAGTGGACTGGTGGTGGTGGTGGCGGAGAGAGAACTGGTGGTGGCGGGGAGTGGACCGGTGGTGGTGGGGAGAATACTGGAGGTGGAGGAGAAAAAACTGGCGGCGGAGGAGAATGGACTACGGGAGGCGGTGGTGAATGCACTGGTGGAGGAGGAGATGGGTGATTTGGTGGTGGTGGATTGGGGGTTTTTGATTGTGGCGGGGAAGAATTAATAACTGGTGAAGATGATTTTGGTGGTTTAGGTTCTTCTGATGATGGAGGTTGCGGGTTAGGAGAGTTGGTTGGTGGATTTGTTACAGGTGTCTGCGGAGGAGAAAATGTTGGAGGTGATGGATTACGGGATGGTTTTGGAGGAGAAGAATTAGAAACAGGTGAAGATGATTTTGGTGGTTTTGTTTCAGGAGTTGGCGGGGGAGAAAATGTTGGAGGTGGTGGGTTGTGGGATGATCGTGGCGGAGAAGCTTGAGAAACAGATGAAGATGATTTTGGGGGCTTTGGTTCTGGTTTCGGAGGCTGTGGTTTTGGGGAGGAAGTTGGTGGTTTTGTTACTGGTGGTGGCAGAGGAGAATAAGCTGGAGGGGGAGGGGAAGAAACTTGTGGTGGTGGGGAAGAACCAGACACTGGAGATGAGGATGTCGGTGGCTTTGCTACTGGTGGCGGATTAGGCACCGATTTGGGAGGTGTTGGTGTTTGAGATGGAGTAGGTGGTTTTGCCACTGGTGGCGGATTAGGCTTCGATTTGGGAGGTGCTGGTGTCTCAGGTGAAGTCGGAGGCTTTGCAACTGGTGGAGGATTAGGTGCCGATTTTGGAGGTTGCGGTGTTGCTTTCTGTGGTGGTTTTGCTACTGAAGGAGGATTAGGCCTTGGTTTTGGTGGCTGTGGTCTTGGTGATGGTGTTTTTGGTGACCTTGGCCTTCCACCAGGGTTTTCTCCATGAGGTGGACCTGATGAACCACATTTTGCCTTGCTGCAATCAACTGGTTTGCTAATCACAGGAATGCATTCTTTCTGAGATTTCTGTTTCGGTCTGTCTGGCAAACAATTGCTTGTATCGTCCAATGCGATGTCTTTCCTTGATGTCGGCACGCAAGATTGATCTTCTCCATTGAAATAGTTGAATGCAAATGAGAGATTTGACAAATTTGGCAATTTGCAAATGGCATTCGAAACGAACCCTGTTAACTTGTTATGGGAAATATCGAAGGCTTCAATGCTTTGCAAGCCGCTGAATGTCTTAGGCAAGAGGCCAGAGAATGAATTGAATGAAACATCAAACACTGTTGTGTTTTTGAGTTGTCCAATTTCGGGTGGCAAACATCCAGAAAGTTTGTTCTTCAAGAAGATGATTTCGTCCAATGTATTTGACATGTTGCCTATGCTACTTGGAATGCAGCCTTTGAATTTGTTGTTGGCGATAACCAGAACCGAAACAGGCGATTTCCCTAGGTTTTCAGGAATGTACGAATCGAACCAGTTGTTGTTTAGGAACAATCCATCAAGATCCTTGTCGAAAATCTCAGGAGGCAACTCCCCTTCAAAGTTGTTGAACCTGATGTCCAAAAACTTGAGATTAGGGATAGAAATGACAACTTCTGGGAATGGCCCAACAAACCTGTTGTTGCTGATATCAAACTCATGCAACAGTTTCAGCTTGTACAAACTCTTGGGAACAATCCCGCAGAACCGATTTGAATTCAGATGAATAAGAGCCACATCTGTCAACAATCCCAATTCGACAGGAAGGTAGCCTGCGATATCAGCATGGTTAAGATCAATGCCGGCTACAACAGTTGTTTTGGGATCATCGGGGGCTGGCGCGCAGAACACGCCGTTGTATTTACAAACATCCGGCCCTTCCCAATTGCTCGTAAAATTCGTAGGGTCAGAGTAAATTGCATTCTTCCAGGCCTGTAGTGCAACATAGGCTTGTCGAAGCCTAGGATTTTCAAATTCTAGTTGAACATCTATTTGAAACTCAAAATTATCGGGTAAATCGCCATTTTCAGGGAGGTTAGCGAGCTGTCGCCGTGCGATCAATGACGCTTCGGCATCAGAAACCGCAGAAGAAAATGGAGATAAAAAGGAATGGAGAAGGAAAACAGAAAGAAAAAAGCAGCCGGAACCCCGCATTTTGGAAAAAAAGAATGCAATGGGAAGCTGCCTGGGAAAATAAGTTTCCCAAGGCTATTGGACTATGAAAGATGAAAAACGGATGTTAGCATTCAGGGAGATACAATGTGAGGTTTAGAATACTAAACAGAAAAATGAGAGAACAATTTCTGAGAGGTCAGGAAAAAATTTCTAGGATGTCCTTGAGTTGACCACACAAAGGAAAACTGGTCTTGGGATTTAAGGAAACTGAACTTAATTTTATTGGTTATGAGTTCCGACAAGTTTGGAAGTTGCTAAATTTGGACAACTTTTGAGAAAGAAAATTCTGAGGCAATTGTATGATGTGAGTTGGCTGATGATTCTGCCCTTTGATTTCGTTTGCTTCCAGATTAGGCAAACTTGTATCGTCATTCTCATAATGAAACTCTTTTTAACAACTATGATAAAATATAAATAATAATAATAATTAAAAAAAAAAGGTGTCAAAATGAATTTAGAGGTAAACAATATGTTCAACGGATCTTTGATCTGTTTTATGTAAAGTTGTAGTTCTCCTTTGTAATCTAATGCTGACCTTTTGTAATCTAAACATTTTGCTCCATCATAATAATATACTCCCTCCGTCCCATAATTATTGTCCAGTTTGAGTTTTCATTTCTAGTTCAAATTGTACTAAAAATAAAATTTCAAAGTGGACAATAATTTTAGAACAGAGGGAGTATATATATAAAGAAAGTGGAAAATTCCATGAGCATGATAAAAATGGTCATTGGAAAATACACGAAATGTCCAAATGAAAAACAATAGAGAGTATAAAAACTAAGGAGATCGCTTTTGAAGATTCCTTTTTTTCTTCTAAAAAATACTAAAAAAAAATAGATGCAAAATAAGCTAGATGATTAGTTCAGATCACTACATATCTAGGGTACACTATTCCTTCAACACCTTGAGAAATTCACTCCATCTGGAGGATGATCGAAATAATAACATCCATCTACACCAAGTCATCAAACGATTGACTCTTTTCCTATTCTTTTGTAAATCACTAGGAATTGTATAGATTTGAAAGAGAATGTGACTGCGGCCAATATAGTGTTCACAACATGATAAGTGTCATCAGTCATTGTCAACAATTTTATTTCCGAATGATTCTCAGTTGGTCTATATAGTCTATAGTCTATAAGCACAAAAATGACACTTTATGTCTTACGCATAAGGTAGAAGTTTGATGGTACCAAATTAATTTGTTGAACGATACTAGTAATTTTATTTGGCTTAAATAAAATGAGTTGCTACTACCCACATTCATCATGTACGGATTGTGTTTCTTGAAAAAACTATAAACTGTTACTTATACGACTCTGTTTAAATAAAATTTTATCGTTTCACTGATAAAATACGGATTAGTATAGCACATATCAAGTGAAATATATTTTGACTAATAAAAAGCTATGTATGGGAAGAAAGTTCATTCTTATCTGTACAAACTTACCCGTAATTTTCTATCAAACATAATAATTACAAACAATTACAGAATATTCAATAGTATGCTTATCCCACCATCCAAGTATCGAACACTGGATTACTCACGGAATATCCAGGATATTCTGGATCAAGGCTAGATTGCATTATTCCGTGCTTTTTCTTCCACTCATTCTGTTCATTAAGGAGGATACCCAGAATGTAAACAAATCCTCAATGGCTACCAAGTTGAACACTTCAACTCATAGAACTTACATGAAATCCTCAGATTAATTTAATTGTCTCCAATCATAGTGTCAATGGTAAAAGTAAAACAGGATCCCAGATTCTTGCATCTGCATCATCATTAAAATCAAGCTACTTTTAATGATTATCCTCATCTGCTAATTTGACCATAAAATATACAGATATGATCTTTAACAGGGACATCGCATGGATCGCACATGATTTTCCTTGGCCATTTTTTGAACTCTTAAGTACATAGCCAACTACCCTGTCAGCCTTCTTTTAGTACTCGACATTGTCACCTAAAAAAAAAATCTAAAATCCACCATTAGCAATCGGCTCTAGCTAATCCCCTTTTCTTCTTCTTAAAATGTAATGTTAAATTGGTTAAAATTCATCCAAAGAGTTATGCTTGAATATAGATCGCACATTTATCATAAATCATAGATTAAGAGTTTGAATTCTATCATAAACATGAATTAGACTTAAATAATTTTTTGATCATTTCCAAATCGTTACAAGATTAGTCATTATTAACGCTAATAAATTTTGTTATACGATAAAAAGTTAGAACTTGAAAAGACTAGAAAAAAATGTTAAAAGCGTGCCCGCTCTCGACAATTGCATGAAAAGAAGCTCCGGAAAAGACATCGTCCACGAATGTATCGTGAGGAGGCTTTAAAGTTTAAACTTTAAACTTTGCTTCCGAATTTATCGACTTTATTTGTAACGATTTGATATTGAAATGACATGATTAGGAAAAGAGGGTTTTATCGAATCCATTGCTACTAATATTTTTTAGTCTAAATAAATTGAATGATTTCATATCTTGTTGTAAAAGTCATTTTTTTTTTCTAGTATATTACACACTCGATCTTCGAAACCAATTTTCTAACTAATTAGGATTTGAGACGGTTAGATTTTTTTTAAGAGGCAAACTCTCCCAACAAGTATTTTAATCATTGTTGCTTTTAGATTAGATTATAGATTATAGTAAAAGAAAAGTTATCTAATTCTTTATTGCTTGGAAGTAAATAATATGCTGAAGGGGGAAAAAAAAGAAAAATCTTTCTTGCTTGGTTTGATGACTGGTACGTTGATTTCATTTTCAGATCCTGATCAAAAGTGATATGAGATGGAAATGTAGTGACTCATTACTCTCTCCATTTACATTTGTAAGTGGTTTTAGATTTGGATAGATTTTTCAAAACGTAAATCATTTTACAAATTTTAAGTAAATTAATGACTATTTTTTTCAACTTTACCCTCAATAAATAGTGTCAATTTATTTTTATTTAGTTTTGTTTAAAGCTTCAATGTTATTAATGAGGGGTAAAACAGATATTTAACACATAAATTAATTGTTAGATGATTGTCTCTTTAGTTTCCGTGCAAAGTCTAAAATGACTTATATTTTTAAATGGAGGGAGTATGTAATTTTTATCCAAATATAGTACTCAAAATTAGTTAACCAATGAAATAATGCAGATTAAAAAATATTTGATGGGATAAATTCTCGAAAAGCGACTTCCTCTGATCAAATCTGGATTACTTGGTGCTTAGTACACCAATGAAAATAAATAAACCGGTTTGACTAATCTGAGGATTTCAGCACAATATTAAAGCAGCCTTAAGATCAATCATGCTCATTGTTAGGGAATTAAGAAATATGGTTAAAAATTCTGGCAGATTAGCTGGAGTTGACTTGACCATCTTCTAGCCAATGACGACGTTCCAACTCAGCATAGGAAAGACATTTAGGCACATTCAACTTAGCATATACTACTGTGTAAGTTGTGTATATTTTACTTTTCGTCGGTCCACCTTACTAATTAATACAATTTAAATTAAAAATAAAAATTTAAATTAGACAATAATTATGAGACGGAAAAAACACTATTTTTTACTATAACATGGATCCTCTCTATCTAGTTCCGTGAATTGACTTTGTTCTGCTTAGCGGTACATATTTTAATATTCAGAGGAACGTGGAAACTGAAAAGTCCAGAGTTATTCACCTTTCCTTTAGGATTTATGTGCAGACTAAAATTACATCATTTTCGTTTCCATAAGATTTTTCAAAGAATAATACTATTGCTTTACGACATTAAAAGGGTCAATGACAACGACATTTTGTTTTTCTTAGTAGGTTCTATCCAACACGGACATATCTCCTCCAAGAAAATTAGTTAATTTAGAACTTAAAAAAACCATAGCAAGTTAAAAAAGACTGAATGGAATGATTCACGAGTTAATCATGCAAAAATACGTATCAAAACTCTTTATTTCTAATACCAGTATCAATGTGCTACGATGCTAACAAATATAGATTGTGTACCTCCCTTCTGTCTTTATTACAAGACATTTTGATTTGTCCTGAGTTTCGCTTAGGATGTAGTATTTTTAATTGAAATAAAAATCTTAAAAATATTTCTTTATAATTAGAAAAACACGACGAATGTAAAAATATATTTTGAAGGTTTTTATTTTCTTCTAAACGCATCCTATGTAAAATCTAAGACAAAATCAAAATGCCTATAATAAGTACCGGAGCCCTTTTAAAAAAAAAATGGTTTTGTAACTTTAACAAAAAGTTTAAATTTACTAGAAAGTAATGTTAATGCATATCCATAAGTTAAAACTATGCTGCAGTCCTTTTACTCCAAACATATCAAAAATTAAAGAAAACATGATCTACCAAACTAAAAAAAAAAAAATGACATTTTATACAAACGAAGAGATTCATTTTCGAATAAATTCCAAATTTTGATTGCGTTAATATTTTGACCGGGGAATACAACAGTACGACCGCGGTAATAAATGCAAGCAAGAGTGGGCAATAAATGCAGGAGCAGTAAGAATGGGGCCATAGCAGTAAATACAAAATTTGATAGCGAGCGGAATGGGTTCTTGCATTAACTCCGGATTCCGTTTTCACGAGTCCATTTTTTTTTTCCTTTACAGTTGAATTTATTTATTTATTTTTTTTTTCAATTTTTCCCCCTACTACAGCCTACTTTAGCTATGGCAGGCCAGCCCCTGTTTGATTATTTGCGTGAGTGAATTAGAGAAGAAGAGGTAGCAAATAGTAGTATTTAAAACTAGTCAGAAAGTTGGTGGCAAAATCAAACTTTTGGTTGTTGTTCCATTTCACCATCTTTCTTCCCCAAGGGATTTTTCATTTCTTCCCGATTTTTTACTCTCTGGAATTTGGTGTTTGGGCGGCAATTTTGATTAATTCCTTTCGGCGGCACCGGCTTTCTCCTTCTAGAGAAAAAAAAAAACTCTCATTTTTGTCCTGCAACCTTTTGGTCGGAAGTTTTCTGAGAAGAAAAGTTTAGATTACCAACCTATATAGATAATTGACTGGTCGATTGGGGTACATTTTTGTTGACAAGGGCTCATGAGAACTCATTTTGTTGGGTTGCTTTCATGGCTTTGAATCTTGGGCTGGAATCTTTTGTGGGGTTGGAGTTTGGCACCACCTGGGTTCTGTTGAACAACTGTGGGCGAAAAATGGGTAGGTGTTGAATTCTTGAAATTGAGAATAAAATCAAACTGTTTGTTGGGTTCGTTTTGTGATTTTTCTATTTGTTTAATGCAATCAACGATTTGATCCAAAACAGAACTTTTCTTGTTTGTTTTCTTGGCTTTTGCTCGTCCTTTTGGACCAAGAACTGTATCTAACTTATTTTATTGCATTTTTTGGGTTCTTCAAAATGTTTTTGCAGGTTTCGTAGCGAAAAGGTCTTCTTCTTAAGTGAAGCTCAAGGATTGATGCGCCTTAATTTTTGTGATTTTGACTTCTTGGGCTCTTCTGATGATAGGACAGACATATTAAAATACTTCAGTCTCCCCCATTATTCTCAAAGTTCTGCCTTGAATTAGGAGATTATAAAAAGAATTGGGATTAATGCATTTTTCAGTATGGAATCCCTTATCACGCTGTGCTGCTTTGGTTATGGACAAGAAGAGCAGGAGAGGAGCAGATGAATTTGGTTTGGATGATGACGGCATGACAATGCCTTCAATTCTGAAGAACTCGCATGAGAACAAGCTCAGGGAAGCCATTGAAGAGGCTTCGCAAGAGGGGTCTCTTACAAAATCACACGACATTGATTCTGATTCTGTCAACCGAGATGGAAATATGGGGAAGTCTGTATATCTTGCCAGGCTGATTGTTCAGAAGGAATTCTTGGCTGCAACGGCCCGTTTGGCTGACCGGAGTTATTGCTCGGCAAGTTCCATCCCGGAGTTGAATGAGGCTTTTAACAAGTTCTTGAGTGTGTACCCGAAGTTTCAATCTTCAGAGAGGATTGATCAGTTGAGATCATATGAGTACACCCATTTGTCTGATCCAGATGCCAAGGTATGCCTTGATTATTGCGGTTATGGGTTGTTTTCTTATTATCAAACGCTTCAATACTGGGAATCATCTGCATTTAGCTTAAAGGAAATCACATCTAATTTGACCAATCATGCGCTACATGGGGGTGCAGAGGAGGGTACTGTAGAAAATGATATTAAATCCAGAATTATGCAGTACTTAAATATTCCTGAGAGTGAGTATGCGCTTGTGTTTACTGTGAGTAGAGGATCTGCATTCAAATTACTTGCTGAAACTTATCCTTTTCATATGAATAAGAGGCTTTTAACCATGTTTGATCACGAGAGTCAATCAGTGAATTGGATGGCTCAATGTGCAAAAGCCAAAGGCGCAAAAGTTTGTAGTGCATCGTATAAGTGGCCTTCTTTGAAGCTCTGCTCCAGGGAGTTGAGAAAACAAATTTCAAAGAAGAAGAAAAGGAAAAAGGATTCCGCGGTTGGGCTTTTTGTGTTTCCTGTTCAATCAAGGGTTACAGGATCTAAATATTCATATCAATGGATGGCATTAGCACAGCAGAATAACTGGCACATATTGCTGGATGCTGGCTCATTGGGCCCCAAAGACATGGATTCGCTGGGGTTGTCCCTTTTTCGACCAGATTTTATCATTACTTCATTTTACAAGGTCTTTGGTTATGATCCGACAGGGTTTGGATGCCTTTTGATAAAGAAATCTGTCATGGAAACCCTGCAGAATCAATCTGGGCAGACCGGTTCTGGGATTGTAAGAATTATGCCAGACTACCCTCAATATCTGGACGACTCAATAGATGGCTTGGATGCACTGTTGGAAATGGAAAGCGGAGCTGTTGATGAAGCAAAAGAAGTGGACTTGAAGAAGCCTGGAGGTTTGCAACTCCCTGCATTTTCGGGTGTTTTCACGGCCTCACAAGTCAGGGAGGTGTTTGAGACAGAGATTGAGCATGATAACAGCTCAGACAAGGATGGTGGGAGCACTGTATTTGAGGAAGCTGATGTCATATCAATTGGGGAAGTTATGAGGAGTCCAGTATTCAGTGAAGACGGGTCATCTGAAAATTCGTATTGGATTGATTTGGGTCAAAGTCCATATGAGTTGGAGAAATCCAATCATCAAGTCATCAAACAGAGATCAAGGTCACCCCTGCAGCCCTCGTGGGTACCTGGTAGAAGTAACAAGGATCCACTTCCTCCGAAGGTTGCATCTAAATTTCATGAAAGCCCCATAGGTCTCGGCAAAAGAATAGACTTCGAGAACCAAGAAGATCAAGTGATTTCTTTTGATGCAGCTGTGAAATTAGTATCAAAGGACTGCCACACAGATAGGGGAATTCCTGAAGAAGAATCCTCTGGGGAAACAGAGCCACGTTTGGTAAATGGTGGGAGCTATGGGAACGGCCAAAATGTGAAAGAGATTGAGGAAGAAACTGAAATTTCCCTTGGATCAAGCTCGGCGTGTTCTGGGCTGAGCTCCAATTCAAAACACCTGACTTCTGGTTTGCAGCATGCCAAACTTGAGAGTTTCTCCGCGTCTGGACTTAGTACAGAAAGAAAAGAAAGTGCCATAAGAAGAGAAACAGAAGGTGATTTCAGACTTCTGGGAAGCAGAGGCGGGGATAAATTTGGACGCAGATTTTTTGGTCCTGAAAATGGTGATACAGTTGCTAAAATGGGTTATCGGGTATCTTTTAGTATGGATGAAGCACAGTTTGAAAATTCGGTACCGTCATTTGGAGCAAGTGCAGTTTCTGATACTGGTCTAAACAATGGTGAATCTTTAGATGATGATGATTATGGTGAGGAACAAGAATGGAGCAGAAGGGAGCCTGAGATCCTCTGCCACCACCTTGACCACGTCAACATGCTAGGTCTTAATAGAACAACCCTCAGGCTGAGGTACCTTGTTAATTGGCTGGTTACCTCATTACTTCAGTTTCGCTTTCCGAGTCCTGGAAAAGATGTAGGAACACCCCTGGTGCAAATATATGGCCCCAAGATAAAGTATGAACGAGGTGCAAGTGTTGCATTCAACGTAAGAGCCAACACCAAAGGTGGAATGGTTCATCCTGAAGTTGTTCAAAGATTGGCTGACAGATGTGGGATATCTCTTGGCATTGGTATCCTTAGTCATATACAAGTAGTAGACAGTGAAAAACAAGGTCATGGCTCGTTAGAGATCGGAGAAACAGCCTTTTGCAAACCCATGATAAGCCGGCGCCAACACAGTAAAAGTGATCTCTTTCGTATTGAGGTTGTTACAGCATCACTTGGTTTCTTGACCAACTTTGAAGATGTTTATAGAATATGGGCATTTGTGGCTAAGTTTTTGAATCCATCTTTTGTTGAAGATGATGAAGTAGTTTCTTTACCTAAGGATCTTGGAGAGATATTAAACTGAGATCTGCTTTTTGATGTTAGTCGGCTAGCGATATAATCTGTAGATTTGGAGATATAGAACCTTTCTCTGTGCCATGTCATGCCCAAGTTCGCGTCTTTCTATCTTTTGTTTTTGGAGCCTGTTTCATACTCTCTTGCTCCGGCCGATCTTCCAATAGCCAAGGAACTTATTCATTCTTATGCCTGTTGTTGTATCTTTTTCATGTAGTTTAGGAGTATAGAAATCTAGATCACAAAAGGCATATATATATGTTGGGGGAACTTTTGACCCTTTGTAATTTGCAGGAAGGCGTATTTGATGGCGAAGCAGTTTCGACAGAGTTGTAGCTTAAAATCAATCAAAAAGTTTCACCTTCTTGGTTCACAACCTGGTTATTGATTTGTTCACCTGGTTTGTTTGTACTTAGAACAGGGGATCTGCTGTTTTCATTTGCTTAATTTAAAGGCTTAAGCAATGAATGGATGAGGACATGTCTTCATTTGATCTGGTGTTTTCATTTGCTCGAGTGGCCTGGCCTCCAAATATTGCCTTTAACCCAATGGTTCCTTTAGGCTTCTTACTTTCATAGTATCAAATTCAAGATTGTTAATTTGAATCAAAAAATAAAATAAAATTTCAAGATTGTTAAAACTCTGATCCAAAAATGAAAAGGCTTTATTCAAACTAATAATGCAGCAGGTAAACCATTTTTTACACTAACACTAAAATTGCAACTTTAAAGTGATTTTAGAAATCATTGCTCTAACTATTTTTAATGTGGAAATGAACTCATATTTAACCAATCTTACTCCAATTTGCTGGAATTTTTAAGTCTTTGATTACGGTAACAAGAGTACATTACGAAGAATATTTAATCACTAGTTCATAGCAATATCCAAATCCACAATCAGTCAAACATTATTTAATCTAAAACTAGGATTTTTTTCCCCCTTCCTAAAACTGAAGCTGCTCTGAAATGTTACAAATTTTTATTTTTTTTTAATACGTATTATACGTTTTTGTTTATTGCATTTTCTGAAGAATACGATTACAATTACACCCCTCGTCGAGGTAAGAGAGACTAGATTTACAATTTTGTCATTACCAACTCCAATACTGCACTTCTGCCACTGATCCTTTTCCGACGAGTTATTCATACTGTGATTCAGATACCCGAATCTTGATATTGTGATTTTGATACAGAAATTTGTGTCTGATGAAACACATATTCATTGGGTTTCTTAAATTTTGTGGCTTTGTTGTAACCAAATTAACCAAGGGCCTCAATTTGGAAAGAGGGACTTGGTGAACGAGATGTGGGATGAGAAAGGGCCTCAATTTCTCGTGGGTTTCGACCCTTCTTCAAATTCTGACGCACTGGTAAGTATTTCAATCTCTTGTCTCTCTGATTGTTTTCTAAGTTCTGGGCTGTATGTCAATTACATCGGAAGTTGCGCTCAATGTGTCTGTTTTTGGGTTCTTGCACACAAGAAAAAAATGTTTTATTCGAAGAATTTTGAGGATTGGCTTGTTTACTGCTGATTAGTTGCTTACATTTGCATCTTTCGAATTGCTTGTTGAGGTTCGAGTTTGAGAAATTAAGGTTGTCAACATAAATGTGGATAACTAACTCTTGTTGAAACTTGAAAGTAATTGGTTCATCATCTGAGGATAGTAGAATTTTTTAATTGGGTCTTAGTTTGAGGGAACTAACTGATGGATCGATTTCGAGAGAATGAAGGTTTGGTGTAATCACCACTTTGCCTTGTGAAATGTGTCCATTGATCATTGAGGTTTATGAAGCGCTCTTGGTTTTCAAAGATGCTCTGATACCTCAATCAGATGCAAAACCACATAGACTAAGGGGAAAAAAAAACTGTTCTTGAAGGGGGTCAATGCTGCGTGTGAAGCCTTGCTATCATCATATTCACACCAATTTTGAAGAATTCGTTATGCTGAGTTTTGTTTTATTTTCCTTTAGATTAGATACGAATAAATATTCTGGATCATCTCTGTTATGAAACCCCACATTATGGGATAAATTGCTCAGTTGACATTGGTGTTGTTGATCTCTGTTGCAGAAGGTTCCCTCTAAATTCAGAAAACACGTAGATGGAACAATTTCAGGGACAGCATTCTTATCAGGTCCCAGCGGCAATACCTGGCATGCAAATATGGTTCAGCAAGATGGTGAATTATTGCTCCAAGATGGATGGGCAGACTTTGTTGCGGATCACAATTTAGCACGTGGTGATTCTTTGCTGTTCAGATATAATGGAGATTTACATTTCACTGTGCAAATTTTTGATGAAAGTTGTTGCGAGAAAGAATCCGCACTCGATTCTGTGTGCACTCAAAGCCCAAGTGAATCGGAATGTTATCCAACAATGAAAAGGGAAAGGGAGAATTCAGCTCTATTAGACAACATCGTCGAAGGGATTCCAAAGAGAGCAAGAAGTTTCACTGTCCATCCTGACTGTGAGCCTGAGAATCTGAATTTAGCAATAGTTGTAGCTGACAAGTATGGAAGAGGGCAAGATGATGTTAGTTGTTCTAGTGAGAGATCAGAAGATGAGGTTGCTTGTACTTTAAACAACTTTGTCACAGTTGCTGTGCCATCCACAGGAAGTTCAGGTGGGCTGGGATTTTCTAGTTGCGCTTTGGTCTCAACAGCCTGCTGTTTAACACAAGAAAAAAGTTATTTGCATGAAGTATTACTCTAGCATTTCTAGTGGAGCAACTGGGAGGGTTGAAAAAGGAAACACAAAGCACTTTTGAGACTGATACTGTAACTAATCTTTATTTAAACCAGCAGCTAGGTTTTTAAGTACATTCAATTCATCATGTTTCATTTTTATATTAGGTGGCACAAAATTTAATGAAGATTTGCTGTTGACCGCTCCAGAAGCCGAAAGGGTAGCCCGATCCTTTACTTCATCCTTACCTAACTTCACGAAAGTCATGAAAAGATTTAACATCAGTGGTTCTTATACTCTGGTCAGTGGTGCTCTCTCTCTCTCTCTCTCTCTCTCTCTCTGCAGATGTTCATTTTACATGTATAGATTTTCGTCTCTTCTTGCATGCCACAAAGTTGATCTCTTTGTCACGCAAGATCATTATTTTTTAATTATTTTTTTTGTACAACAGTAAACTTATGTGTATTGTGTTCGGCATATAAGCCATCAGTTTCAACGTTCTTTGGTCACTAAAATTGTGCGTTTATTGGCATTCATCTTTTGCTTAAAGTCTTACGTATGTACATGTTCCATGGCTTTCTAAGCTTTTAGCCTGGTAGTCAAAGCATGATGCACACCGAATGAGCTTCGGTCTTGTATTCTAAAATTATGTTTATTGAATTTTAGGGAAACTTTGTATACAATTGAAGTTCATTTGCAGAAGTTATGCAGCATACCTTAGAAGCATCCCTTTCTCACATTCTATTTTCCTTTTATTCTTTTGAAAGATCAAACACCAATTGCTGTTGAGTTCTGGTTGCAGAATGTTCCATATCAGTTTGCAACTGCGCACCTTCCAAAATGCAAAGTGAAGGTTGTGCTTCATAATCTAAATGGAGAAAGCTGGACTATTAACTCAGTGCCTACTATAAGAGTGCAAACCTCTCATACTTTCTGTGGAGGGTGGTTGGGCTTTGTTCGTGATAACAATATAAATGAGGGAGACTTTTGTATCTTTGAACTTGTGAAGAAGTGTGAGCTGCGAGTTTACATTATAAGGGTGAAAAGGGACGGGATGGACGATTATCGTGAGAAGGAAGTTCAGTTTGAGAAATCATGGGCTAAGCTGAAAAAGATCTCTCGACGCAAAGCTAGGAAAATTAGTGCAACCTCCCACAACATATCTTTGCATCTATTTAAAAAAGTTGATCCAAACAGAGTGAACTGCATAAAGAGTTCCCAATCAAGAGATCACGAGTTAGGTAATGGATTTAACATAATTGATAAATCCATATATATTTTCCTTTTGTTTGTTTTTATACTTGGATTCGATTCGTATTTATTAAAGTTTTAATTGGAGATTTGCCAGTGACCTCTGGAAGAACCTCACCTGGAAGCCTGAGTTCTCATGCCAAGGGCTGTATCTCCATGAAGTCTGCACCTGAAGAGAAATTGGCAGCAGAGTTGTTCCACTCCCATTTTCCTCATTTTGTGAAGATCATGAAGAAATTTAATGTCAGTGGTTCGTACACTCTGGTGAGTGTACTGTTGCTTTGGCTAACTTTTGTGGTGTTTGTTTTTCCCATGGATACCAAAGCTGATCCTTCTTGAATTATGTGATTGGTTGTTGATGCCATTTTCTGGAAACTCCAATGGTGGCCTGTGAAAGAGTTAAAAAATGTGGTTATGAAGTTCTTTACCTTCTACATCTGGCTTGTCAAGAGGCAGAGAAGTTGAAGATTCATTTAGCTTCATTATGAGATTTTGATGGTGATGAATATTAGATCGAACCTGTTTTCCCTGATAAATATGCCGACATTTCACCTTGGATGATAATGACCATAAATGCATCTCCTTTCGTGAAATGAGTTAACAACTGTAGAGGATTCTAGGTATTAGCGAAAGTCACTTGCAATGCATGAAAGGACATGCAAGATGATTTAAATGTTTCTGTAATAAAGTATTACTTCTACAGTCTGCTCATGAAAAAGAGCTCAAAATATTCTACTGAAGTGTATTTGCATTTCTCTTGACCATCTTTCTTGTGGGCCTTTCAATTGGTTGGTACTGCCCAATCATCATTCACTTACTGGGAAAAGTTTTCTTGCAGAATATCCCTTACCAATTTGCAATGGATAACCTTCCAAGCTGCCGAACAGAGATTGTTCTACGTAATCTTAAGGGCAAGTGCTGGACAGTAAATTCTATCCCAACAGTGAAGGTGCGAACTTTGCACACTTTTTGTGGTGGTTGGATGTCCTTTGTTCGTGACAATTACATTCAAATGGGCGATATATGCATTTTTGAGATGATAGACAAGAATGAAATGCGGGTGCATATATCTCGATCTGGTGAAAAGGGGCTAGACTCTCCAAAGGAGATAGCATCTTCAAAAGCTGTTGGGTCCTTGACTAGCAAGTAGTTTCGGCTTGAAGAATGAGAAACTCCTGACTAGATGCTACGGTATGTGCTATCAGTACCTTTCTGACCTTGCATGTGGTATATGTGCCATCCTAATGTATGTACTTGTAAAGAGCTTTATAATTGACTTCAACCATGCAAAAGAACCGAAACCTTCACAGTATCTCATGTAAATGAATAAAAAACAAATTCTTAAGTTGGGTGTTTAAGGAAACCAAAGAAGCCCTTCTTTGGTTTCTTATTTGTTTTCTCCTGATACATTGGCCAGCAACAGTGGTGGTTTTTAAGATTGTAAGACACTATTCAGGGTTGAACCATCATGTTCTTCTGTTTGAGCCCTTTTATCCAAGTTTATTTATCAAAAATATGCTATTGTGGGAACATTTATAATTTCTAATTCTGCAGGTGCCTGCATAATTTGTCTTTCATTTTAATGGTGATTTGTGAGGCACCAATTCTAATTAATTTCCATATGTACTTAGTAGTCTTTGCTTCTCAATTGCTCTAACCATGTAGCACCAATCCTTGTCCACAGGCAAGCATGATTGAGCATCCTATAAATTGTTCTGGTGACGTGCGAGCAGTTCATGTGTATTAATTTTGTCGAGAAAGTAGTTGAAAATATGGACGGCTAATGACTACAATGGTGACAAAGGATCCATGTACCAGCCTCATATGGTGGGAGTAAAGGCTTCTTGTTGTTGCAAGTAGTTGAGAAGCCGAAACTTCCATGTAGTTCTATATGTTCTTTAACAGCTTGGCTCATATCTTCATGTTGTATCCAGTTCAAAATATGTGGGAATTGTTCTTTGGTATCAGGCCTCAGAAGAAGCTGCGCAAAACTGTTGGATATGTTCCATCTGTTGATAGTTTTTAGGTTTACTGATATATATATGATGAATTGATGACTGATTTTTCTAATTAGGGCTCGACATCAATAAAGCCCTAAAGCGAGCTTATTAAACCGGAGCTTTCTTATAATTAGTTTTATTTATATATATTTTAAATTAATGGTAATAGTAAATTATTTATTATTTTAATCTAATCTAATAAAAGAAAACACTATATTGACGTAAATAAAAGTGTGATCCCATTAGATGAGCACTTAACATGATGGTGTGCCAAATAGGGTAGTTTAAGAATGGCGAATATGCTCTTTATTGTTATTTCTAAAACGGGATTGTACGAAACATTCCTGCAAATACAAATAAATTCTCTTTTTTTTTTTCCTTCCAAAAAAAACATTAGTGTTCAGAAAGTCCGTTTGTTATTGTAATTTTAAATATATAGTTTTAGTGACCGATTCCAAAAGTTATGCTAGTAGGCCGAAAATGATTTCCTTTTAGTCTTAGGATTTGAATACGGAAGTTGGTGCAGTTTTGGAATCCAGTTATCAGTTATGGTCAGGATTTGTTGTAATTATAAGAACAGAGTTCTTCCCTACAAATACAGATGATTTGACTGAACTTTAAAAGATTCTATTGTTTCATATTCAGCATTTTCAGACAAGCCACTGGTTGAATTGGCGGTGAAGTACACATGTTGGGAGACGGGGTTCTTGATACAAATTGTGGTGATCATCGGCTTAGTTTTGTTTGCCGGGATGACGTCGGGGCTCACAATAGGCCTGATGTCCCTGAGCCGGGTTGATCTCGAGGTTCTTGCCAAATCCGGAACTCCAAAAGGACAAGAAACATGCCCGGAAGATACTTCCCCTCCCGAGAAACCAACACCTGGTGCTGGTCACTTTGCTGATGTGCAATGCTGCTGCCGTGGAAGCACTTCCCTTCTTCCTCGATTACCTACCTGATCACGCCTTACGGGCGCGATTCTAATGTCGGTGACGTTGATCCTTCTGTTTGGTGAGATTAGTCCTCAAGCTGTCTGGCACCAAATATGGTCTGGCTATTGGTGCGACTCTCGCACCTTTTGTGCGTGTTCTTGTTTGGGTCTGTTTTCCAATCAGCAAGCTCTTAGACCTTGTTTTAGGGCACCAAGTATAATAAAGCTCTGTTTCGCCGAGAAGAGTTGAAAACTCTGGTTGATTTCCATGGTAACGAGGCCGGTAACGGTGGAGATCTTTCACACCACGAGGCGATCATCATTGCCGGCGCTCTTGAGCTGAGTGAGAAAACAGCTGGTGATGCAATGACTCCGATTTCGAAGACGTTTGCGATTGATGTTGATGCTAAACTTGATAGATCCCTGAAGAAGTTGATTCTGGATAAAGGGCACAGCTGGATTCCAGTTTACAATGGGGATTTGACAAACATTAGTGGAGTCATTTTGGTTAAAAGCTTGTTAACCATTCCTGCAGAGGTTGAAGTCCCTGTGAAGAGTGTAACGATTCGTAAAATACCAAAGGTTGAAGAAACAATGCCGTTGTATGATATCTTGAATGAGTTTCAGAAAGGTCATAGTCATATGGCTGTTGTCGTAAGACGGAAGAATGAGAAGCCTGATGAGGAAGAAGAAGAGGAAAGCAAGAGAGTAGATGAAGTTTGGATAGAGATTGATGGCGGGAAAACCCAACTGGAAAACACACTGAAAACCAAGAGAACGCTGCACAACTGCAAAATCTTTCCTAATAACCATGACTGTGGTAGAAGCGGAAGAATCCGAAAGTGGACAAATGAGGAGAACATCATCTTAGATGTAGATGGAAACCCGCTTCCCAAACTCCCAGAAGAAGAAGAAGAAGAGGCAGTTGGGGTGATTACTTTGGAAGACGTGATTGAAGAACTATTACAGGAGGAAGTTTTGGATGTGACAGATCCACCATCTTTGATAACTTGACACCACTTTCTTGAGTGTTTCTTCAAACTTATCATACATATTGTATCTCTGAATTCTACAAAAATGATTATGAAATTGGGTTTCATTATTTATCATTTTAAATAATACTCCATCTATCTTAAAAAAAAACAAAAAACAAAACTATTTATCATTTTGTTGAGCTGTTTTTCAGAAATTGAGAGAGTATATATTAACTTTTAATTTTTATTAGTTGATCGATATTGCTAAATTCAACCCGACTGCGAAAACATGCATGGAAGTGGGTGCTAAATGATGGAAAATTTAACACTGAAACCAAACATATAATCATATTCTTCTCTGCCACTAACAGAAAACCAAAGCAATTACCATTTCTCAATTCTCCCCTCCACATGATCTCACACCGTTCTCCTTCTTCTCTCTCTGCCTCCACTTGCCCTTCTTTCTAAGAGTGTGTGTGTGTGTGTGTGTGTGTGTGTGTGTTCTTTTTCCCTTTCTTTATTACTGTAGAGAGCTTGAGCAGATTTCCTATGGAGAGAGGTCAAAAAACAAGGGATGACTGCGGCGGTTTCAGGACATGTGAAGAAGATATGGACCGGTCTCATTTCTATACAGTTCAATTCTTTCAGATTTTGACTGGCCGCTTTCATCAATACCTTGTAAGCTCTTGATCAAAGTTTTCAATCTTATTGCTTTTGTTTGATTTTTTATCTACTGATCAAAGTTTTGCATTGCAATATCGAAAGAGTATTCATGTGTTTTTTTTTTATCTTGCATGTCTCTTTTTCATACTTCATTTGATATCAAACTGTCTTAGTTTGAGTTTGGAGTGGCTGGAAGAGAAGCTCAATTTGTCAATAATTAGTTCCCCCCCCCTTCTTTTACAAGTTTGTTGGGTTTTGTGAAATTCGATAGTTTCATACTCCCACATCCCAAAATGATTTGTCGTAATAATTTCAATAATTTCACCTTCTTATAGTCTTAATCCATGTGATAAAATTATTTTGGGACGGGGGAATATGTTTGTTTGTTTTTTTTTTGGGGGTTGGGGGTTTTGATAGTGTTCGTTTTATCAATTTGAGGGAGAGGTGATTATACAAAAACAAAATTAAATTGTTGCATGGATTAATTATTGGTTAGTCTGGTTTGTGAAACATAAATCAAGACTCTTTTGTCCTGTATTGGGCATCCCAAAATTGTTTTGTTGTCTTTAATAAGTGCGGGTGCTTAGCCTTAGCGTCTACTTTGTTGCTGTTGTAATGCTATCAATTTCACTTATGTTACTAACTTGAACAAAATTTTGCAGGCTCTGCCCAAGAAGTTTGTGAACAACTTAAGAAAGAAGCTGGCAGGAAGTGTTGTGCTCCAAGGCCCTACCGGTGATGTATGGAATGTTGGAATAAAAGCATTTGCCAGCACTTTGTATTTCAAGAACGGGTGGAAGGAATTTGTGCAAGACAATTCCCTGGAAGAAAATGATGTTTTATTCTTTAAGTACATGGGAAATTCACGCTTTGATGTCGTGATGTTTGATCAGAAAAGTTCATGTGAGAAAGAAGGTTCTTGCTTCATGAGAAGATGCAAAGCTGAGAGTGTAGAGCTTGACGCCAATCAAGAAATGAAGGATAAATTGCCAGCTGCAACTGTGGAGGAGGTTGCTGGCGAATCTTCATCTGAAGTTTCGAACGAATCCCCAGCTAGTAAAAAGCATAAAAGGGATGATGATACAGGAACCACATCAAAATCTGATGGGAATCCTCTTCTAATAAAGGCCAATGATCAAGGCAGTAACAAAAAGGAGCACAATGGTAAGTGTCTTAATAGTATATCTTTCTGTTCATTGACGATTTTGTGCAGCTTATGATATCAAATACCGTAGTAAGTCATTTGCATCTCAAATTTGTTGAGAAGACATGAAGGTTTAAAGATGTTATTTTACTTTACTCTGATGTTGTCACAAGGTTTAGCGCATAGAAGTGTGGTTTGCGGCGAGGAGTTTTTATCTTCTTCTTTGTTTTGTGGCAAAGAGCTTTTATCTAATTGGAGGCCGGTCACCAATGAAATGAAAGAAAAAGCTCTAAATGAGGCTATTGCACTCGCAGCAGAAACCGAAGCTTCTTTTGTTATGAATATGATAAAGTCACATGTTCTCACAGCATTCTATGTGGTAAATATCTTCGGTTCATTTTCCTTTTGGTAGTTATTTGAAAGCTGCAAGCTGGTTTTACTTTTTGAAAGAAATTTGCTGTATCTGGCTTTAGACTATGCAGTTTTTGACATAGTTTTTTGGGTTACGGCAGTCTATTCCTGCTCAATGGGCAAGAAAACACCTCCCTTTCCAAAGCCAATATAAACATGCGAATCTCGTAGTTGAAGAGAACACATGGCAGGTCAAATTCCGTAGAAAGGGGAATACTTGTGGCCTGGGAAGTGGTTGGAAGAATTTTGCAGCTGAAAATTACCTTGAAGAATCTGATGCTTTAGTATTTGGTCTGGTTAACAAGACAACAGATTCCATAACCTTCAATGTCAGGATCTTCCGAGTGGTAGAGAAGAACATGAAACTTAAACAAGCCATGCTTACTACTTCTCGACGAGTGATTGTAGGAGGGTTGCGCCGTCCCCAACTAAACAAGCAAAGGGGAATAACTAACTAGAGTACCAATGATGTTCGAATCTGAAGTTTGCTCTGCTGTAGAATTGCTCCTGAAACTGTGTACAGTTCTAGCTGTCCGCAAGCCTTGCTTTTGTGAATCACTCTGTTTAGCACTATCAATCTCAGAAATTGCCTGGCTTTTGTAGCATGGCATCAATAGTCTGCCATGCTTTTTGTTGATGTACGACTTCTAACAAGAAATTGTAAAGTCTAATGATTTTGAGCATCAGCTCATTATGGTTATAACGAGAATTTGCCTACTTAAATGGACTTCCTACTTGTTTTTGTGTGCTTAAGTGAAATGTACTAAAATGATGACAGAAAGTTGATGCAGCTTATGTATCTGAAACATACTTGCAGAAGAATATTGAACAGTCTATTGTAAGTTCTGACTTCTGATCTTATTAGTTCTCGAGTCTGGCAATTAACATGCAGATACTAATCCAACTTGAGCACATCATGAACATGATGGTGACCATCCAATTAACACAATGCAATTGCTAAGTACACCAAAATTACAAGTCAATGAAATCAACTCTGAGCTATGACCAAAACTTTCTCAACCAGGAAATTACACAAACTCTTATGCAGGCCGGACGATAAGTATTAACCTCTCTATCCCAAAACCATTTTGCAATGATCATGGCCTTCGAAAAAAGCCTTTTTGGGTTTTGAGTCCTACAAGACGACTCCCCTTGCTTCTCCTCTATTTTGACATAGCCATATTTCCTAAGCTTTATGATCTCTGACATGCCGAAAACAGCTGCCAGCTGATAAGAGCCATCACCAAAGAAGTGAAAAGTTCAAAGCCTACTACCTTTGGGAATTGCCATCCTAATCCTAGCCTCAAGTAACTGCACAAAAGAAAATCTTGGTCAGATAAGTTTCTCATAGCTTCATAGTCCCTAAGATGCAACTCGAAAAATGACCTAATTGGATTAAAAATTCATAGAGCATGTGATTTGAACAGACACCATATCCATGACACACATCTTGCATATATCTGACACTTTCCAGAATTCAAATATGACTTAGCAATTCGCATCATGAAAATGCAGGAGAGGAGGAGGAACAAAGAGGTGGAAAGGAAAAAGGAAAAGCAAGGATATTAATAAACCTTGTAATCGATGGCATTGTTGCGACTATCCCTGCACATGCATAAATGATAGGAATCAAAGTCTTTGGCCGGTTCTTCCGCAACCACATCAAAGATCCCAAAGCAGCAAGTGATATACTAAGTACCTGAATTAACCACAAGCATTGCTGCAATTAGAGCATGTAAAAAAGAACTACTAAAATTTTACAAGCAACTTTTGTTATCTACACTGCATAAGCTAGCACCATTTAGCGTAAGCTGCATTATATGGAAAAACAAGATTAATCGTCATTTAGATTAAACTGTAATCATCATTTAGATAAAACTGTACCACATGGAAACTAGACAAGGAAGACAACATACCAGATTGGCATTTGCTTCTAGGCCTTGCAAAATATACTCCCATGTAAACTCTAAGCCCCTGGCTCCAACCCAAAGGGGTGCCAACCTATGCAGAACAGAATCAGCAAAAGCCCATCCTGTCAACAGAAACATAAGCACAATAGTTAAGACCAAAAAGATGCATGATGGACCATCCTGCAACCTATAAAAGCTTCTGTAGTAAAAACAATAAGGGAACTTGCATCAAAATAAAATGCTAGCACAGAAAAGTAGCTTAAGCTGACAACCAAAAACAAACTAAAGAAAGAAGCAATGCAGTTTCATGAACAGGAAGTAAGCATCATTTACCAAGTCCAACAGCCTGAAACTTGTGATTTTGGGAGATATTCCTGTGAGTCAGCTGAGTCAAGGCAAAGTAAAGCCCTGCAACATCTATGAATCCAATCAAAGCCTTCAACAATTCCTGGATGGAAAAAAGAAATGACAACTCTGATTAAGGTTCCTAAGGAAAAACAATCCACAGGGACAATGAGGCAAGAATCAGAGGTAGTGCACCAAAATGTACAATAACACAAACAAGTTGTATCATTCAATCCTAGTGTGTCAAATAGCTAAGAACTTTTCTTATTAGATTATCCATATCTTCTATGCCTTCACAGAAAAATTAAGTAGCAAAGAGGAAGTGTCCAGGTGTCATTTTTGTTCGTCTCAGAGTAAAACAATCATAGCATTATAAGTGAGTGAAACTTTGGCAATTTATTATAAACAAATTACTGGAAGAATATCAATTACTTCAGCATTACACAAAAAATACCAACATCATCACATGAGTACCTATAGAAATGTCCACAAAGTAATACGCTACTTACTAGTTTCTAAGCTAACAATTCTTTGCAAGGCAATTTCGCAGCCATAATCAATAAAAAACCAGATTAAGAATACATCTAATGGTCCTCACATGACGTTGTATTGGAGTTATTCAAAAGACATAAAAAGGTACTAGATGAAAAATAAAAAATATCTTCTGCATGAATACCTTACACCTAATAAATATGGCACACGAGTGGAATCCATAGAGACGAAGCACAAAGGAGGGGAGGAGTCAGAAGACTACCTGATATGGGTCAAAACTGTCACTCTCTGATACGTTTAGAAACGTGGCCAAACAAACAAGCTGCGAGCCAAAGAATTGAAAGAGAAAGAAAGGGCATTAAAAACTGTGTGATCTAATCACCAGCCAGACATCATCTTCATTTGAATTGTTGCTGACCTTTACTAGTGCAGTTACAAGATAAACAACGGCAGCTTTAATGGATGTCCCCAGTGTATCATATTCAGACCTTCCAGAAAAAGAAAAACAGAATCAGTAACTGCTAGGAGGTATTCTATTCATAATGGGTAGTGTTCTTTTAGCCAGCAAAGTCAAACATAGAAGCTTAATTAAGGAAAAGACAGATGTTCATATAAACAGAAAGAGAAAACCCTTCACTTTTTCAATCAGAATGAAGTTCTTTAGATCATTGCTTTGGCCCAGTGTTCTCATGTAGCAGGAACAGCTGAAGTTTCAAATCACCACATGTCCACAAAAATCATGGCTCCGGAACATTGCAGCATTTTTTTTCACCTTTTTCCATAAACAATTAAACACAAAATCCTATACCTAACCAAAAAAAAAAAAGTCCCAGAAGCCATTGAGTTTTGTTAGAACGAATAAACCTAAGTGAGGCAAGGATTTACGCAGCTCATGAAGCAACAAACTGGTACCTTAATGAATCCACTAAATAAAGAAAACATTAATCTTCCCTCAAAAACTTTCGCCTCCAATATAATGGTTATCCAACACTTTTCAAGTCACACCCAACTAATCAAGAGCTCATTACTGCAGAGATTAAAACCAAAACTAATGAACACAAAAGAGTCAATTACATGTCCCCTGCTCTCTCAAAAGACAACTTTTCATTTATCAGTGAATTACTTTCTCATTGCAATTGGCACAAAAGAAAGCCAACGAGATTCGAGAATAGTATTACAGCTGAAAACAACATCACAAGCAGTAAACTTGAAAAGGGATTCAATGGAAGAGATCACCAAACTGAGAAGATAAAATAATCGGATTAAAAATACAACAAAATCAAAGACATCATACTCACAAGGGAGTAGCGGAGTAGTAAACGGCGTGAGGGCCAAACGTTAAAATCGCACAATTGAAGAAGTGAAACACCGTCATCTTCTTGTTCCGAACACTCTCTCAGACTCAGAGCTGGAAGCAACAAACTGAGAGATTTGGTGCAGAGGAAGAGAATTGGAGCTGCGATCCGAACCGGAACCTTTTGTGAATTTTGCCTTTTCTATTTCTATCTGTAGATCGGAGGTGAATTTAATTCATAATGCTCACCCAAATAACTCACTTTATCATCTCATCTTACATCGTATTTAATATTTACTGATTGGACAATGTATTTTTTTATTTAAATCTAAATAAATTAAATTAAAATATTATTATATTACTTATTAATATTCGGCCTACTTATTATATTTTGTATAGTTATAATTTTACCTTAAAGTGTTTATTTTTTTAAGGGTTAGGATCTATTTATTTTAAAATTTTAAATATATAAGTATTCAAAAAGTAAATAAATCTAGCAAAAAAAATTATTAAATTAACATATTAGATTTTATTTAATAATTAATTAACTTATTAAATTCCATCAAATAATTAAATGTCGAGTAAAGTGAGATGAAAAGGTGAAATAGATTAGGTGAGATGTGTATTATCAACTATCAACTATCAACTATATATATAAAAAAGGAGTTTCTCCTTTCTCACACGTAGTCTTTGGTAGTATCTCTCACGTGTGTGAAGGGTTAAATTGGTAACTTAAACATTTAATGTTTTTATTTTGATTTAAGTTCTTCTATTTTCTTTTATTCTATGTCCGTAATAATAACAATATAAAAAGTTATTGTTGAGAAGATCAAAGGATTAAAATTGATGTCATAGTCTTTTGATTTTCTCAATTTTTCATTAACCTTTGATCATCAAGTTTTGTTTTTTAACATTCTCACTCATTGATTTTTATTGATCCCTTTTAAAAATAAGGATATGTGTTCCTATTCTTTTTTTTTTTCATGTGATATTTTTACTTAAGGTGAAACTATATATCAAATAAATAATTAGTAATCATCTTACTCTTTTGATTATGTGTTCAAAAATGTTCACAACTAATTGGCACAAAAAAAAAGAAGTAAAAAAAGAAAAATGTTTCATAGAATATAGTATATAGTTAGAAAACGTAACCATTTTTGGATGATTAATTTAAAGAATGTGAGGAGTTTCTTATTGTAATTAAAGATAATTATGAAAAGCTAATTTATTTCATAAGGATATTTAAGGAATAGAACACTTATGAAACATTAAATTCTTAAATTTATAAAATATTCATAATTGTTTGTCCTTTCACTTGCCAATTGTCATCCGTTTTTCTTCTCTTCTCAAATTAATTTATTGTAAGCAATTGTAAAAAAAAAGTAAATGAATTATGCCATAAATATTGTCCATAAAGTAGCATTTTGTGTTTTCACATATTTTTGTGTCTTTTCGTATCTCAAACAGTCAAACTTTTGACATTCTACTGTAAAATTAGCAATCACTATAAATAGGGATGATATTATTTAATCCTAAACCATTTTGATGTGACTCTAACTCTTATGTTGGTTATTGCTTTTCCTCACTCAAATTTTCTTTCTCTTCAAAATAACAACATAATAGCCGACGACGAGTTCAAAGATGGTGCAAGAGTACCTTCCCTTTATTTGATTGCTTTTGTATGAAGAACAAGAATGTCGTATCTCATCAGAATATGAGAACACATAAATAGAATAAATCAAATTCTATTTAAATTTTTTTTTTACATTTTACTTTTGCTATTTTGGTTACTAAAACATTTATTCTCTATTCAAATTTTTTTTCCTATTCAAAATATTTTTGTTTGCCCGTTTATCCTTCCCATATATTTCTCTTTGATAGTGTTTGATTTGTGAATTTTGTTTTTATTTTTACTTTTTATTTTCTATAGTATATTGTTATTAACTAGAAATTGTGTATTATGACATTCGCGCATTCGATTCATCTAGTAACTCTTTAATAATATAGTATTATGCTTGGTGATACAATACTCTCTCAGTGTTATTTTTAGTTAAAATCATAAATTATAATGTGTACTGCCTTTTTGGGACTTAAAGAGTATTTTAGTTTAATAATTATCATATTATTGGGACATAATTGTTCCAATCCCTTAGGAGAAGGACTTGATTGTGATAAAAATAATGAGTCACCATTTTACTCAAACAATAATTCTTCGAGTACAGGAAGTGATAAGGGTGTTAGGAGTAATAAGGAAGTATGTACTCATCAGCACGAAGAAGGGAATGTAATTGGGATCAAGTAGGTCTTGTGGTAATTACCTTTAGTACATTTCTGTTTAGTCGCACATTTTTAATAAATATGCAGCAAGACTTTCGGTTCCTTCTAATCAGCAAAAAGAAGTCAATCATCATCACAAGAGAAAGTCGATCATCATTATTAAAGAAGCTGCGATCTTGTCTGATCTTTTATCAATTATGTTGTACTGAATTAGCTTATAAAATTAGGTAGCCTTGTACTGAATTATTTTGTGTGAAAAATAGTGCATATACAGAAAGGGTGAAATCTAGTTCTTCAATTCACAGCATCCTCTCTCCGTTTTTTTCTTTCGATCACAATTACGGTTCTTAGTCTTCCATTTTTTTTTTCTCTGATTGTAGTTTCAAGACTTGCGGAACTATAAATAGCCTAGATGTGTCTGTAAAACAATTGTGAAATAAAGTAGAGTTTTTGACCTAAAAAATTTTCTTAAAAAAAAGGTAGACCAAATTAATTTTTTAAAAATTTGTGTGGACAAACCTATATCCTCTGGATTTCTAAAATCCGAATCCGGGCTAAATTCGGATTTCGGTAATCTGAATTCAATAGAAAACGGATTTTGAAAATCTGAATTCATTTTAATTAAAACTAAAACTAAGTAAAATTTTAATCTGGCATAATTAATAAGAATTCGGATTTCTGAAATCCGACTTTATGATTAAAATATTAATTTTTGGGAAAATTTTTTTTGTACAAGTGTTGGTAATTTTTTGGACACGAATCGGATTTCCAAAATCTGAATCTTCTATGTTTCCCTGATAAACTCGGATTCTAGAAATCCGAACCTAAACCCTAAACCCTAAATCCGAGTATATGTTACACTCGGATTTTGGTAATCCGAGTATATGTTGCACTCGGATTTTGGTAATCCGTATATAGGTTACACTCAGAGTTTGGTAATCCGAGTATAAGTAACACTTGGATTTGGGAAATCCAAAGTTAAACCCTAAACCCTAAACCCTATGGCCTTATTTTGAAAATCTAATTTTTTGCTTGACTCAGATTCTGAAAATGCGGTTATTTGCTTAAAAGGTACATAACAGTAGTACAGATAGATTATACTGAATTAATGATAATATTTAATAACTAACAGATTTAACAATAATAAATAACAGTAATACCACTAATGTATAATGAGTATTAGTATTAATATATTACATAAAACTAGTACGTACAAATAGTACATAACACTAATACAGATGAATTATACTGAATTAATGATAATATCTAATAACTAACAGATTTAGCATTCATAAGTAACACTAGTACTAGTAATATATAATTAGTATTAATATTAATGTACTACATAAAATAATATTAGTACGTACAAATAGTACATAACACAAATACAAATGAATTATAATGAATTAATTATAATATCTAATAACTAAGGGCTTGTTTGGCCAAGGGTTCCATTTGCAATTTGGCTCATTTTACCTCTTAAAACACCACTCAAACACAAATCCCAATACTATCATAATACTATCCGGATATTGCATTGCCACGAAAAGCATTTTGCGTTGCTGCAAGAAATGATTCTTTTTGTAGCGATGCAATATCCGGTACTTTTTATTATATATATGTGTGTTATTCTTTTTGTTGTATATAACGTACTGATTTCTAAATCTATATATTGATTATTGTATAAAATTTTTGTCCAAGTTACAAGATCGATAAGTCGGGTACAAAACCGATTATGCTTCTGGACGACTTGGAGGCAATTAAAGCTCATGAACACTTTCGTATTGATACCAATCAAATTAGTGTTGTTGATTATTGACCAGGACTGTGAGGCCAAATAAAATTCACCTGTTATCTTTTGGGCTTTTGTCTTCGTATGAAGTCGTCTTTGTGATCACAGTTATTTCTGTTAAGTAGCATTTATTATTAGGGCTAAATTACTGTTTAACTTAAACCTTGGAGTAAATTTCAGAAAAATTCTGTCTAATCCTTACAATGATTAGCTGGCAATTTCCATACATTGGGATTGTCGAATCTCGTAGGATGATTGATAAAATCTCCAATGACAGCTGTAAATTATCTATCGAAAATTTTGAAGAATTTCTTTCCCAAAAGTTATCCTTTGTCTCCTTCTTTCCTAAATTCTGTTTCATTCTTAAATTCTGCCTTTTTTCTTAAACCCTCCAAAATCTGACTCTAAAAATCTGAAATTCAAGCAATATCGTTACAGAATATGCGGACTTTTTAGCCCTAAGTGAAAATTTGGATCTTAATAATGTTTTTGTAAGCCTATCAGATTAAAGCTTTTATGGTTTTATTTGGTTTTTTCTGACAGTCAAGAGGCGGCCAATTGTGTGAAATGGCCTAAAATCTGAGGCATTTTGCTCTACCTGCAGATTTAAAACCAGAATTAAGGATTCACACTTGAAAATATTCCCTAGCATTAGAGGGTTACTCAAACTTGATTGGTATGTTGTGATAAGGCGTGTTTACCGTCAACAAAATATGCATGGTTGCAGATGCATTAACAACATTTATTTTTTTCTTGTCCTTAAGAAGACACATTTTACCAAAGGCTGCTTCAAAGTTTAGTGATAAACTATCATAACTAAAGGATGTTTCGTTAACTAAGCAAGAAGAAAGATAATATTGATCGATGAGATAGGTCAATGGTAATGTTATGGTAAGTAATGGCTGTTGAGCCTTGAATTTCAAGTTTTTTTTTTGTAAATTTACATCGGAACCTAAGCTCATTTTACGACTTTAGAATTTGCAAGTAAAAAATTCTGTGATTTTAACATTCC